CCCCACCTGCCCCAGCCAGGATACCAGTGTACTCCCCTCCCCTGCAGTCAACACACTGCCCTCCACCTCTTTCCAGCAGGGCGACCCCATGGCGACCCCAGGTGACCCCGACCCCTCACAAGCCCTGGTGTCCCCATGCTTACATGGCCACAGTGACCATGCAGCCTTTGATCTTGCCCCTTGCAGGAGTGCAGCTTATTCCGTGACCTTAGGTGAGTTCCCACAGACCTCAAGGCTTTGGGACTGCAGAAAAAAGTTTCAAAACGAAACCCTAAGTTACAATCTGTGGTGGATGAACTAGGAGCACCTTGTGACACCCGGCTGAACTGTGTCAGCGTGGTGCTGGTGCAGAAGGCCCACCTGAGGGTCGCTGCAACAGCATGAAAGAACTGGAGGGGAAGATGGCACTGTGATTCTCCTGCAGAAGCTTGTCACGCCGGCTTACTGACACGAACTCATGTTTTCTCATGACAGAGAAGCCTGGGTCCTCGCTGTGGCTGAGGATGGCTGCTGTGGTTCTCTTCAGAGAAGCTCTGGTCCTTACCTTGAGTGTCGCTTCCTGGCTCCAGGGCAGATCCCTCAGCTGCTGGCACAGATCCTTCACCAGCTGGTGCAGACTTTCCAGATTCCACTGCCCACTTTTGGGCCTCCCCAGCAGAACCGTGAGACAGACTCACATGAGAGGCACCATCACGGGCTCTCGGTCCTCAGCTAGACTCATGCAGGACATCACTGTGGGATCCAGGGATGTGGCTGGGTTCTTTGGTCTCTAGTGTGTGGACAGCTCTCCTATACTCTTTTGCATTTGACTCTTTGGATATCACCAGATAACCCTGCAAACAATGTGTCCTGTACGTTGTCCTGTGAACCCTGACTGCAGCACTGTCCGCGTCGCCCAGTCAGAGACAGTTGGCTTCTACACTGATCCATCCATGGCAGGTTCTCTTCCAGTGGGGAAGGTGGCTGGCTCCCCGAGTATGGCTCCTGTCCAACCTCCAGGACCTCACAGGTGTGCAGCCCACACAGCTCTCCACCTCACTCAGGTGTGGACCCTCACCACACCACACCACACACCGATCCTCCTGTCCTGCCCGGCCCTCAAGGGCACAGGCCTAGACACCCAAACCTGCCCTCCATGGGCACAGCTAGCTGGGTGCCCATTGTGCAGGAGACCCTGCAGCCCAGCAGAGCAGTATCCAGCCTGCCCCAATGGACAGCCCCTTGGGGCTCCCCGACCCATAAGCCTCACTACATCTTTATTAAAACCTCAAACCAGACGTCAAGGCAGGAGAAAAACAGATTCATTTCTCTTTTAAGAGACACCTGGCAGCACGTCCACAGAACAATATCCATAATCACCAGCCGCATTTCCATACCATTTTGCTCAATTTTCTGGAGAGCATGGTGTATTTCAGAGCTCAGGGGTCTTTGTGTGATTTTCACTTCCTCTCCTGTGAGCCTGTCAGGGGTTCCAGAGTGGACTGCATTTTGCAGTGCAGCCTCTGGGGTCAAGGGAGCAGTACCCAGAACTGGGCACTGGGGGCAGCAGGCACTGTGGGCACAGGTGGGCCCTGGGAGTCAAGCCGGGCCCAGCAATGATACGCAATGGACACCACCCACCCCCGAGCACCCCAGCAGACCACAGCCCAAGCACAGCGGCCTCTGCAGGCTGGGCAGAGGGGCTTCGTGCCTGCAGCCTGCTCTGCCCTGCTGGTGGGAAACCCAGAGGAGGGACACCCTGCAACAACTTTCAGGTAGACCAAGGTCGGTGCCTGCACCTGGAGATGCAGCCGCTGCAGCTGCTTTGAAATCAGCTGCAGAGGTCTGATCTCAGGGACGTGACTCTGGCACTGGAAAACTGCAAGGTCTCTGAGTCCCCATGGCACCATAGGTCTTGGGAGGATGCACAGCTGGACACCGACCCCAGCTTTTCAGGTCCACAGTCCAGTCCCCATCCCAACTCCAGACAAGCAACTCCTGAAGGCCTTGCAAGGCAAGCACGTAGACATCAGCCTGGCTGACTGGCAGTGAGGAGCTGGGGACAGGGGCTCCAGGGGATACCTCTCACTGTCCCAGATCCAGCCCTGTGGCCCAGGTATGACGTGCAGAGCCCGCCAAGTCAGTAAGGGAGTGAGAGGCTGGAAACACACAGCAAGGAAGACATAGGCTGACCACCAGGCACACTCCGTTCTCAGCCTGGGCCAGGCCACAGCACTCACCCCAGGCCGCTGCACGCCCACCTGCCACACCTCCTGCACCCCCCGAATACTTCGTGCTTGGCTCTTCACACCCTAGCTACCTGCAGCATCCTGGGCCCATCATCCTGGGGACAGAGGTAAGCACACAAAGGAATTCACATGTCTGACGTGGAACTTCACATGTATACCGTGTGTATACAGACTTTAACAGAGTTCCCTTTTCTGAAAAGTCTGCAGCATGCTCTGTTCCGAAGTCTGCTTTTTTAACCACTTCCTGTCACCTTGAGAACACCACTTGCCATTCAACTCACCCACATCATCGGCTTCAACGAGCGACTTCACTTAGTCCTTCCACAGCAAGGACCTGGGAAGTGTCCAGCTGCTGGAATCCATGCAGATGCCAGGGGTCTCTTTGGGGCCTATGAGCCACACACATGGGGCTGACCCATGGGGACCCAGGGCGACCCCACACCCCACCTATCATCACATGCTATGCCCTCACTGCAAGGTCAGCCCCCTATGTGGCCACACACAGGGCAGGGACCCTTTGCAGGGTGCCCCCACCTCTCGCCACGTCAGTGAGACCCCAGAACCACATTTATGGCTGCTCAGACATCAGTGCCCAGGTACTCAGGACCTTCCTAGAGCCACAGAGGTGGTGGGAGGTGGCATAGGGCCACTCAGAAACACACACAGGTGCAGGACCACAGCTACTCCTCTCTGCACCACCTCAGGCTTCCTGGCCTGAAAGGGTGTTGTAGCCACAGTCACAGGAGGGAGAGGATTCCCAACAGACAGGAGAGAGGGGGACTGGTAACAAAGGACACCCAGCATGGGACCCAGGAGCACAGGACTGACCCCTTGATGTGTCCACTGCGGGAACCTCTGTACCCGGGAGATGGGGGCTCTCAGGACTGAGCCAGCTCAGCAAGCCTCAAACCACACCAGGGCCATGCACCCATGCAAGGTGGCTCTGGCTTGCCAGCCCCCATAACCTGTGCCCCCCCTCCAGTCCTCCCACCATGGCTTTGCCAACCTCCCCAATCCTCCCTGCCCCTGCAGGCTCCCACCTTCTCTGCTTCCAGGAGGACCCTATAAACCCACAGGCAGGGGTAATGCCAGGTAATCTGGCAAGCCATTGGGACACAAAATCCACAGATAAAAATCAATCACATTTCTGTAGATCAGCAACAAACAGAAAATTAGTCTTTAAAGATATCATTCACCTTAGTTCTCAAAAAAAAAAGAAACCCCTTACATAAATATAACAAAAGTCACACAAAGCTAACATACAACTTGGAGAACTCTGAAAGACCCAAAGAATGACCCAGGCAAAATCGCAGACTTGCTGCGTTTATAGACTGAAAGAACATACAACTACGGGGCCCTTCTGGTCCAATTTACAAAGACAGTGGAGCCTCAGGGCACAAGCTTAACTCATTCCTCAGGACCCTGATCACATTCGTCACCCCACACAGAGCTCACGGACTGAACAAACAGCAGCACTGGTGAACTGAGGTACTACGACAATCCCAATCACCTTGTTAAATGAAACTGGGCTCCAAAACTGCTAAGAAAAGGGTCAGAAACAGCCACCCAGTGACTGAACACAGGGCCTCAAACCCGAGCTCCACCCCAGCCCACCAGTGCCTTCCTGAGTAAGCCTGCAGCACGCTCTGAAGAGGCCAGAAGCCATCATGGAACTGTGGGATCAGAACACTTGTGTACCGGCTGGGGGAGACACAAAACCCACGTAGAGGTCCTTGCTCCTCACAGCCATCCACGCCAAGTTTCTCAGTTACCACTGGGTGCTTCTGAAAGCTCAGTGCAGCTGGCTGCGCCTCGTACTGGATTAACAAGACACGGGAGGCAGGTGCTTCACGATCTTCAGAACGAGGCTTGGGAGACCCTGCCTAAAGCCTCTGCCAGCCCGGTCTGGACACATGATGGAAATATCGGCCAGGCACGTGCACGCCCCTGGCCAGATGGCACCACCACCCGGGGCATGGGCTCACCCCTAGCAGAACAGGGCACTCCTTCCCAATCTGTGCAACTTCTGGGTGGATGGGGTCCTTCTGCTGTGTTCACTGTCAGGGGACATGCTCTCCAGAAAGACTGGAGGGCCACAAGGCCGTGCCTTCCATGGTGGCCTTCTGGCTGGGGAGGGCTACACTGTCACCAGTCACCGCACTCTCAGCAGTGGGCCCAGAGGGGAGCCCAAAGCAAAGGTGCAGACCTGGAATCAGGTCCCACATTGAGGGCTTCCCTGGTCTCCAAGGCAAGGCTGCAAGGTAAGAAGAACACTGTGGGCAAGGGGCTGGCAGAGCCTCCCCTGCAAGGACTGTGTGCTTGCCCCGTCCACCGGGCCAGGCCTTGTCAGAGGCTCCTTTCGGGGACAACTGTCTGGCCCAGGTGATTTCCCCAAAACCCCGTGACACTTCTTGGAGTGGCTCCCACAGAAGGCAGACCCCTGCAGCAATGCTTTGAACCAAAGACAGAAGCAGCTTCTGCAGACAAGTAACAGGGAGAGGCGCCATGGGCCACAGCTGGGAAAGACACAGCAGGGAAGCCTGCATCCAATTCCCAGCTTCACGGAACATTTAACTACAATTACATCAAATGTATAGCCTCAGGTGGCTGAAAGGGCACAGCAAGACCATGAGCAGGGCTCCTCACCATGCCACAGGAGGCTTGCACAGATACTTCCGACCCCATTAACACCATATGGAGCCCGTGTGCCACAGCTCAGGGAATTGGCCTGGGCAGAGCCACTGCCCACAGCTGGTCAGCAAACAGCGATGATGAATCTGAAAGACAGCTGCTTTAATTTCCTAAGTTTACACTATGTAACATAAAAAAGGCAGACTTATGTGACCTGGTATGACATTTCCTTTTACAAAAAACAGTTCCCCCCAGTGTCTGGTCAGTAGTATATAAATATTTACAGTGAAAAAATAGGCAAGGAAAAAGGAATCTTATCCATTTCTTTCTGGTGCTTGTAAGAATCTGAAATAAAATCCTCGTTCGCCCCATGGCGGCGGTATTCACATGCCACCCAGGCAACGGCTTCCAGGCCTAAGCTGGTGGCCACTGTGTCTACGCAGGGCCCTGGGGCTGCCGAAGTGCTTGGGAGTCAGGTGAGACGGAAACTACACAGGAGTGAGCTCCGCAAGGAGCGACAGGAAAAGAGCAAGCATGTGGCAGTGGTGCATCAGGATACAAGTGCTTGTGGGCATTTCACAACACACGAACCACAATGAAATGCTGTTCTCCTAGCGGCAACACCTCACTTCAGGTCCATTTTATTACGGAGCAGAAGCTGTCTCTGAAGAGGACTCGGTCCTGTGCCAGGTGCGGCCAGTATCCCACTGAGCGCAGCTGGCAGGGCCAGCAGCAGGAGCAGCTGGGTCACAGCCATGTCGCCCATGCTCAGCTCCAGGGATGCCAGGCCATTGACAGACACGGGGCCTGTGCAGAGGTGGCCACCTGTGGCAGTGCCTGCGCCCTGGGCGCTGGTGGCCGGTCCTCACGTGTGGGACGGGCGCCGCCCCCTGGAGCCTAGTGATACTCGGAGCCTGGGCTCTCGGGCCTTGTAGTGCTCGTTGAAGTCCAAACGGAAGCTGAGGAAGCGGAGGCTCTCATCGGAACTGGTTGTCAGCAACACCAGGAACTGCTGCACGATGCCCTGAAAGACACAGCAGGCAGTCACCTGAGATAGGTGCCCGGGACGGCCTCCCTGGATGCTGCTGAGTGTGTGTCCTGCTTCACTAAGACAGAAACTGAAGCTGGCACCAGAGACCCGAGGAGCTGGGGCACTGGGCTGTGAGTGCGGCACGGATGATGGGGAGCACAGGACTCGCCCACGGACCCCACCTCAGAGTGCAGGATGTCCCTGGAGGCCCACCCTGAAGCCCTCTGTCCACACCAGCACCACATGGCACACGTACCTGATAGAAGTGTGTCAAGATCCGCAACTGGGAGCACATTTTTGGTATGGATTCCTGAAACTCCTGGACCCTCCTGTTCTCTTCCTCCTCCTCCGCTGCTGTCACTCCCCACTGGCCCTGAAGAATCAGAAACACCAAATTAAAGACTCTCACTGTTTCTACCTGTTTCTCACTGTTTCTACCAACTGCAGCAATCCGCTGCAAAATACACAGCAACGATGCCACTTGACCTAAACTGCCAGGTTTCTGCTATTACGAATGGGCAGCCTTGTCTCTTACCATCATCTGGGACATGTTTTTTTGTTTTTGTTTTTTTTTTGTCTTTTTCCTTTTTATCGGTACTGGGGATCGAACTCACGACTGCCTGCTTGCAAGGCAGGCGCTTATGCCGCTGAGCTAAATCGCCAGCCCCTGGGACACATTTTTTTATTCAGGCACTATAAATATGTAAGTATTCAGCAAAACATGAAATGGAGCCAGAGCCAGTGTGCAGCATTCTGGGAGGCTGAGGCAAGAGCATTTAAGTTTGAGCCCAGCCTGAGCAACTCAGTGACTTAGTGGGACCTCGCTCAAACTCTCAAAAAAAAAAAAAAAAAAGAGAAAGGGCTGGGAATGCAGCTCAGTGCAAAGGTCAAGGTTTCGACTCCCCATAGCACACACAACATGAGAGCAAGGCCCTGCAGCTGTGCAGCCCTGTGCTCCTATGCCTGGGGCAGGAACGCTTCCTGGCGCAGCCCACTGTCTTCTCTGCACTGGACAAATGTTCGTCCAGCTCCACTGTGAGGGGACGTACTTTCCAGCCCAGGAGTTTACCCACGCCTCTCTGACCATCACACAAGGGCTCACAGGTATCCTCCTCTGAAGTACGGACATGGCAAACTGTTTCTGACCTCCGGAACCTTGCATTCCTGAGACAAGTCCGCACCTTGGTAAGCTGCTCACGTCTGCTGCCTTTTACCTCACCGTGTCTCACCTGAGATTCTAACCCACACTGCGCTTCCTCTCCAAGTTTTACTATGGGCTGGGCTGCATCCTGACCAACCTGTCGCCCCGCTATGCCACAGCCTCTGTGCATCTTGGGCTTAAACCTAGGGCCTTCACGCTAAGCTACAGTTCCAGCCCCCTTTCATTCTTCATTTTGAGACAGGGTCCTACTGAGCTGCCCAGGCTGGGCTTGAACTTGTAACCCTCCTGCCTCAGCCTGCCAGAGTGCTGGGATTACAAGGATGAACCATTGCTCCAGTTTCTAGTAGGAATGCCTAAAGGAACCAGAACCGACAACTACTTTTCCGGGAACCACCATGTCACTGCACTGCTGGGTAAGGAATGGGAACTCTCACGTGAGGGGCGGGGTAGGGGTGGCTGTGCACACGGCAGTGTAGGGGCCTAAGACAGCAAGTTGCCACACTAATACCAGAAACCAAGACTTTCAACGCACAAAATATATTCCTTTACAAATGAAGGAGTAAAAGCCCTTCAATTCTTAATCTGAATTGAAAATACCACAATAACTGCAGGGGTTCTAAGGAGAAAAGAAGCAAGCAAGCGGACAGAGCCATAACCTGAAGGACAACGAGAACCCTCCAGGACGCCTTGCCAAACAGCAGTGAGAAAGATGCCAGCTGCGGCCAAGCAGCATGGCGTAGCCACCCACAGCGGGCCTTCAGGGTCCTGCTGGCCCAGTATGGCCCAGGACCCCTGAAGCTCCTCATCCTGAAAGTAAAAATGCCACAGGTACAGCTCCAGCTTTCTTCTCAATCTCTTGCACACCAAAGCAGGTTTGAGTGTAACAGGCCGACAGCCTCCACAAGGGGGCTCTATCCCCCTCCCAATGGTGACATCTCCTGAGACCACTGCTACCACACAGGGAACCCATGCTACTCTCCCTGTAGGGAGCCATGTGGGCCTGCTGCGGCACTATGATTCAGTGATTCCCTTTGCGGGACTTCCAGGGGCAGGGACAGCCTAAAAGCGCTGCAAGCTGGCCTTGCTTGTAGACTCAACCCTAGACACGCTCCATGGGGCCTTCTGAGACCATCAGTCTTGTTATCTCAGCTCACAGACTGCAAAGTGGAGGTGTAAAGCCATCGAGCCACAGTCAGGGCCAAATCTCCCGCCTCTGTGACTAGTGGTCCATGGGGCGGGGTGGCAAGTCTGGCAGATCCATGTACAGCCTCCCCACCTCCTCAGAGTCACCACCGAGCCACGCCTTTAGGAGACAACTCGGCAGCAGCCATGGAACAAGCTTGCCTCCCATGCCTAACACACCTGAGGCCTGTGCTCTCAGGGACAGCAGACTGCCTGACCCAAAAGGATCCCCAACTCAGAATCGATGCTGGAAAGTAACACTAACATCCATTTGGTGCACTGTTCAATTCTGGGCACCCTGTGTCAGTATTTTTAAAAAGTGAGATGACACAGATCACAGCAAATAGAAAAAAGCCCACGTCACCCTGGCAGGGGCGCTGAAAACAGCAGTCAGCACAGTCACCAGGGTGCCCTCAGCATGAGGCCTCAGGGCCAGGCACACGGCTGCCCACGCTCAGACTGTCCTGCATCCGCCTGGCTTTAATCATGTGTGAGAACAGGTGATCACACCTCCAAGGCCCCATGCAGGTGTGAGGGCACCAGCCCAACTACGAGGAGGTGGCAGGAAGGGACTCGTCACATCACTGAAACCATAAACCACCGGGAGGAGCCACACCTCAGCCTCACGCTGCTGCTTCTTCTCCTCAAACTGTAGGCGCCTCTGCAGCTCCTCCAGAGCAGCACGGTATATTGCGTCCTGAGTGTTCTGAAGTTCAATGATTTGATCGAACACTGCTCTCAGCTGGTTTAAAAGTACCTGAAAAGACAGAATCATTTTTTATGACTAGAATTCCAACATGCCACCTAAGTTTTTTTAAATGAAGCATTTCTAACTAGAAAAAGCGTATTTGCAACATTTGGACATGGTCCATCCCCTCCGAGACTCGGGCTAAAATCTGGTCTCCACAGTGATGTGCAGGACCAACAAAGCACCTGGCTCAGGTCCCCCACAAAGGGTGATGGGTGCACTCTGCTCTGAGACTGGAGGACCCCAGGAGCAGTGCCTGTGGCCCACTCTCAGGGGTGCTGTTGGCTCCACAGAATCCAGCCATACTGCTGTCCCCCAGATGCCCTCACTGACATCAATCGAGCGCAGGGCGGTGCTCCCTGACCTCCAGCTCCCAGAACTGGGAGCCAAAGTGAAGCTCTGCTCTTCATAGCCCACCCAATGCGATGCATCCTGCTGCAGCAGCAGAGAGTGAGCAAAGATGATGCGAGGAGACAGTGATCCAAATCCCACAGAGCACTGTCACTCTGTGCCATCTGCTGTGCTCTGAGCATAAGGGTTGGTGACCTGGAACTCAAGCAAGCACTGTGAAAAGATGCCAGGCCTTTAAAGGGCCTGAGCCCTTGTCACAAGAACAAGTCTTGGGTCACCATGCAGGTCAGCTCTGGTCCCTCTGCAGTGTCCACCACAAGCTGACATAGGCACTGAGCCCAGGCGGGCACAATGCTCCTGGGTTTCTAAACTGTGAGCAACCTGGATCTTTCTATAACCACCAAATCTGGGGCACTCTGTGATTGCAGGAAAAACAAAGACACCCCTGGGGCCAGGGCCATGAATAAGTCTCACGGCATCCTGCTCTCTGTGAGACTCATCACACTCGTCTGCTCAAATCTCAAAGCCGGAGTGGCCAAGTCAGAATTATTCCAAGGACCCAAAAGGTAACAAAGCATCTGTATTGCATGATATATCACAAGCAGACATGGATACTAGGAGAAAGGAAATGCTATAAAAAGCAAACTCAGTATCACATTTCATACTGGGAAAGGACAGCTTACACGGAAGCAAAGCTCTTCGGGTCAGCAGACCTACCAAGGCCACAGCACACATCTCTGGTCCTTGATAACACCATGGGAGCACCATACACACTCCCTGATGTCACCACGCACACCTCCAGCACCCTGCTCATAAAGGCTGCACACATCTGTGCCAATTCCTCTCTGAGGGCGGCACAAGACAAACAATGGAACCCACAGCACAAAACTGTTCATCTGAATGGAAAATATATCCCACAATGCACCGCACACCCACCCACCGGTCACACTGCAACACAAGACGCTACAGCCCGAGGGGCAGGGTAAGTTAAACCCATCCTTCCTGTGACGAAGGCCCTGAAGTCTTTGGCAAAATTGCAGCCCAGGCGGAGCAGCAGTGCCCCTCACATGAGACAGAGGGCAGGACTCCCTGTGCTCAAGTGGAGGGAGAGCAAGGGGTCTGCTGTGGGGACACAGAAATGAAACTCTCCTTATGATAAAAACAGTCCAAGGGAAATGCAAAAGATCCAGACACACAGAAACAGGAACATGGAGAAAGGTCACAGCAAAGACAGAGCAGGCTCCAGACTAGCTCATGCTGCTCAGGGCAGGGCCACAGGGCACATGCAAGAGCCAGGTGGCTGGGCCCCAGGGGCCAGTGAGGACACACAGGTTCCTCTGTGCACGGTTCCCTCTGCATGATGCTGTCGACACCTGGGCTCTAGTGTATGAACTGATTCCAGCAGTGCCACTAGCAGCTGAGCTCCCCCTGGGTCTCAAGGTTAATGACAGAAGGGAGCACCTGTCACGGATTCCAGACCAGCTAATGTGGGAGGGTGGGGGGTGACGCGGTGCACTATGGCAGGCTCGCTCAGGCCTGAGCCGACAGAGACCTTCCCTCTACGAGCACCAGGAATCCCGGCTGTCCTCAGCAAATGGACCCGCATCGCCCCACCACTGGAAGACCTGGCTCTAGAGGCATCATCCATGCAGTCCCAACCAGACTCCTTGGGACCATGACCCCACTGCCAACCCTGTGCATACTCAGCCTCTACCTCAGAGATCTGTGGATATCTCTGAGTTCAGCCTGCCTGCACCCAGACAGCATTAACCTGTCTTCCCAGCCTCGGTCTCACATGCCATTAGTTAAGACTCGAGCAAGATGGGGTCATTTGAACATGCAGCAGCAGCAACAAAACACAACACAGATCTGACTTGGTCTGACTCAGGGCACTGCCCCATGCCAGCAGTCCTGCAGTGATGCTGTGGGCGCTTTACTCAGAAGCCGTCTCGTCCGTCAGAGGGGTCTTATTTTATGACAGATAAGTGAAACAGGAGATGGAGATGGCTCAGTTTTGCAGCTGCCTTGACGTCCGGAATACATTGCCCTAACATGGTCATTCTGATTCTGGAAGAGGGGAAGTCCCACAGAGTCAGATCTGGGGACCAAGGCAGACAAGCACACAACGTCTTTTTCACAAGCCAACTTTCCCGGGGTGACACTCGGCAGCAACGTCCACCGTATTTCCGAACACTCTCCCTAAGGACACTGTAAAGAGGGCTTCTCGAGCTAAACCAGAAAGTGCAAGAGCGAGGAGGGAGTCCTGGAGGTAAGGGAAGGACCCGGGGAATTCACAGCAGTGCCACCTACGGTAATTTTCTTACATTTAAACACACTGTATTGTTTGATTAGCCTCGGCATTTCTCTTTTTTATTCATTACCTGCCACACAAAAAACAAGTTACTCCCTTCGGTACAGGGCAGCCCAGTCCGAAGCCTGTGCTCCACTCTCCTGGGGGGCCCACTCCATGGAACCACAGCTGCAGCAACCTGCGTGCAAGGTGCGCTCCCCCACCGCACAGACGGGAAACCACTGCTGTGTGCAGCTGCCATCACAGACAGCTGCCGTCTCAGGCTGCCACGTTGGCATCCTGTGTCAGAACAGTGTTGGCTTTCTAGCAAAAATATTAGACTTAATTTATTAGTAATACGTTCACTTAACATATGTATTATTGTTACATAATGGCTTTCTTAAAAAAATTCTGGTGACTATTTTACACAAATCATCACCTTTGGAGTCAAAGCTCCACCAAGGCAGGATGCCTCTGCAGGCTCCTGCGCGATGCTGGGGGAACCCCGTCACATGCAAACAGCCCTGCACAAGACCATGAGACTGTAGACAGCAAGACGTCCTCTGCCCAGGTGGGAGCTGTGGCTTTCCCTGTCATCAAAAGGGCTACGAAGCTTTAGATCTTGTGACTGTCAGCTCTTCTGTTAAATGCACTCACACACAAACGCGCGCACGTGAACACACACACAAATGTCGACTGCCTCAAGTATTAGGAGTGACACCTACATGCCAGTCACTTTGCTGAATGTTTTACGTGACTCACAAACCTCTGAAGAGAGACGGTCGCCCACGCTTTCCAAGCAGAGAGAACACATCGGAAGATGCTAAGTGGGCCTCACACTTGGTGAGCAGCAGAGCCCAGGACCTGTCCACTGCTTGTGACTTTACTCAGGGACAGACAGACTTGGCCCACACACAGGATGGAGGACACTTCCAGCTGGGGAGTGGTGAGACTCCGTCCCCATGTCCATCACTCAGTGGCACACGGAGGATGCACTGCACCTACCCATGGCAAGTGGGCTACAGGCCCACAAACCACCTAGATGGATGGCTCTTATATTAGTAAATCTAGTCAAGTATTTTAATCACTTCTGTAGGGATCTCACTACATTTATAAAGACGTTCTGCACAGAGGAATCAGCCTGGAGATATAGCTCAGTGGCACAGCACCTGCCTGGCAAGTGGAGGGTCCTGATGAGTTCAATTCCTAGTACAAAAAAAAAAAAAAAAGAAAGAAGAAAAGAAAAGACCTGTATAGAGGAATCTTGGCTATCATCAATTTTTGAATACATACAATCAGTAGCTCTTAATGATGAAATTTAGTCTATGGAAGTACACTTTCTTGGCCATGATAGCTAAGCTCCACACACTGCAGCTGAAACCCAAGGAAGCCCCACAGCCCTGTCCACAGGAGGACCTGGCCAACACAGGGCAGGGAGAGCGGCCTCTGCACACCCACAGCACCCTCAAAGTAGGCTTGGAAGGAGACACAGCAAGGCCTCGCCTGGCTGCACACTTCCCCTGTCCTAGGTCTGGAAATGCCGCCTCAGCTCCAACAAGGCCTGCTGGTTCCATGAGCTGTCACTTCACTACAGGGCCCTGGAGGAAGAGAAGGCCAGCAAAAAGCTTGAAGCCTCAGACCATTCTCAGTTCAGCCTAATAAAGCCCTCTATTTTCAAATGCTTGCAGTCAGACAGCAGGACTCAGTGAAGGTGAAACACAGACAGATCGCCACCCCCAGCTGAGCAAGGCCTAGAGCACATGAGAGGCCTTACCCTGGAGTCGCTGTCCAGCAGACAGCGTGAGGTGATTGTGTCCAGGAACGCCTCGTGCGCTGCGATGATGTGGTCCAAGTCCTGGGCCTGCTGCACTCGGTTCCAGAGCTCATCCCACGAGCACTCGAGAACCTGGAGAGGACCGTGTGAGGCTCTGTGTAGGTTCTCCCGTGCAGGACCCTCCCCAACCAAGGCGCCCGGGGTACCTCAAACGTGATGTAATACTGCATCTGGTGGATGAAGTGCACCATCTCCGAGGCCAAGATGTGGCACTGGTGCAGCACCCCTGAGAACTCTGCAAGAGAGAGAAGGACATAGGTGCAGGGGCACAGGGGAGACCCTGGGGGCGCTTCCAGGAAGATCTGTTCTTCCCTGCTGGCCATCAGCAGGAAGCAGCCCGCACTCCTCACTTCACCAAGGCCTGAGCCGCCTCACCAAGCGGCTCCACATCATACCCTCAAACCTAAGGCCCTGGGAGGGGCAGCATGGGAGGAAATGCAACTGTAGTTCCATGAACAAATGGAAGCTCTGCCTCAAAGCTACTTTACACCCAACCCTGCTACTCTATTCAGAAGCACTGCTTGGTGACAGGTTGGGGCCACCCTGGGGCTGCAAGGCTACTCACACCTGGGTGTCCCAATATAAGGCCTTTGCAAGTTCTATGATCAGGGCCAACTTAGCACCAATGTGGAATTCTTCATTCTTTGCTTTCCTAATGTTTAGCTATGGATTCGTTTCTCGTTCTGGAGAAACACCATCTTCCCATCTTGTCCAACAGTGGGAGCGCACTGGACTGGCCTCCGCCAGCGATCCCCTAAAGCAGCCTCTGGTGAAGGCATGAATGGTACAGCCTGTGGCCACTGGCCTGGACCCTGACACTGTGGGCGAGCCTCCTCGGTGGGAGGGGGAAATGCCCACCACAGCAAGCATGTCCAAATGCCTGGCACCTCTGTGCTCTCACGAGCACACACGCAGCTCACAGGCACAGCACCGTCCTTTCAGCTGAACATCTGAAACATGCCTTGATTCTTCCTACCCAGGCCCTGAACACACATGAACTCTCCCAACAGGAAGTTCCTAGATTAACCCAGGAATCACAGACTTATCCTCTACTTAATCCTTTAGCCTCACTATCCGTCCAGAAGGTCCCCACCCATAATGCTACCCACTGCCAAAGGACAGGAAAAGGTCACAGGGCAGGGCAGAAGAAATCCAAGGTTAGGATCAAAGAAAAGCCAGGGAGCCAGTCAGATTCTGGGAGCCTACATGGGCCAAAGATCTCAATCAAAGGCGCTGTAGACAAGAATCCACCAGCAACTCACATTCCAATCCTGCCTAGTCATCTAGAGCTGCTTGCTATCTCTTCCTCCTTCCCCATCTTCAAATAAATTCTTTTAATTTAAAAAAAGTTTTTAAACATACACCTGAAATAGAACTGTCTTTTCAAGGCTGACATACAGATACCAAATAGAAAGAATCCCAAAGGCAGCGCCACATTGTCACTGAGGTCCAATAATGCATAAGCCCTGCTGGGCTAGCACTGGTTTCTACTCAAACTGAAGTGCAACCTTGCCTACCAAAATCTCAGTGGGACTGGCTTGTGGCTCTCTGCTGCCCTCTGTAGGTTGCGAGCAGAGTCAGATGGAGTTGGCACCAACAGCCCCTGCTCCCAGAGAGCTCGCTCTGCAAAAGTCTAAGAGGCTGGGCCTCCCAGTCCCAAGCTCCTCCCTAATCTGCTCTCGCACCTGTGACCACCCACCTCAGCTGGCACCATGGCTGGACTGAAACACCTCTGGTGAGTCTGGGGGCCCTGGGGTGTGGCTCAGGACTGTTTCTGATCCTTGCCCTTCGCCCACAAGAGCAGCATCACTCTGCTCCTCTGTGCCTCTCACCATGACATCCCTGGCTGATATGCAAGGCCCCTGTGAAGGGCAGCCTTTCACTAGGATAGGCCCAGAACCTCTGACATCCCAAGCCAAATACAAGCTCCTCCTTTCCAGCTGTGGGTGCTGGATCTCTTGTCTCTGCTGCACACTGAAAACCGACGCAGTCAGAGCAGCTACTTGAGCCAGCTCATAGCTCTGAGCATGATGAGAAGTAGACTCCTGTGTCCCGTTCACAGTCCCCAGACCCTCTTGGTTCTCTCCCTGACCCCCCACATCACAGGCAGGGCACACACATCAAGATGGCTGCCACTCAACACGCTCTGTGACCCCGGCTGCATCTGCAGCCTTCTGCACAGTCAGTCCTGACACAGGCAGGCAGGCAGGCAGGCGGCGCTATCATCCGCATCCCCAACGGGGAAACTGAGGCCACATGGCAGGGGTGGCAGGTGGTGGAGAGCGGTACACACAGCAGCCTGTGAAGGCAGCCAAGCCTGGATGAGCGCACAACTGCACATGGGACAAGGAAGCTCACAGTCAGCTCCACAGACCCAACACTACCTCTTCTCAGCATCATCTCCAAGTCCTCCCGAGGCCACCACAGGCTCCCAACCACAGCCACTGCACCTCTTGGAGGAGTGAGTTCCTCTCATGGGGTTAAGATGCTCCCTGGGGTGTGACGCTGACACATTACAGAGGACCTGCCACCCCTTCCCTATGGCTGTCGCAGAAGCTCTATGGAGTATCTCTATTCCACCTCAGCCTGGGGCTGGCAGGACGTTGCTGACCTTGCTGTGCTACAACACTGCCACGAGTCACTCATGAGGTCCCTGGTGCCGTAGTTAGGGTCTGCAAAGGAAACAACTGAATACAGGACACCTAATTTACAGAATCATTTTATAACAGTCACCCAAAGAGTCAAATACAAAAAGTACAAGAAATCTGTCCACACACTAAAGAGCCCAAAGAATCCAGTTGAGGGCCTGGATCCCACAACAATGTCCTGCACGAGTCCAGCTGAAGATTGGGAGCCCACAATAATGTCTCATGCAAGTCTGTTTCACAGATCTGCACTGGGGAGACCCAAATGTCAGCACTGGAAACTAGAAGGTCTGCACCAGCGGGATGACAGATCTGGCCAGCAGCTGAGAGAAATGCACTGGAGCCAGGAAGATGCTCAGAGTAAGGACCAGGGCTCCCCTGAAAAGTACACGGCTATCCTCAGTGACAACAAGGTCCCCAATGCCTCCAATGATGAGAACAGCCGACTTCATAGCAGGAAAGAGGCTTGACAAACTCCTCCAGAAGAACCCATGGCAACAAGAGAACCAGCAGCACCACACAACAACAGCTCCAACAACTTCCTCCTCTCCAGGTCTCCTTTCATACCGGCAACAGTCTCCAGACTGTGTGCGCTGAGTCAGGGCAGCAGGCATTACAAACTGACCACCGCTCAACTCACCACACCCAGCCACAAATGACTTTCAGCAACTTCTCCAAACACCAAATGCAGTAACACCAACACCCAACAGGAACATGAAGAAGTAATTTCTCAACAACAAATACAAGTAGAAAAGTGAAAAAGGAAGCCGGTGTTCGGTGATTTCAGAAGCATAACTACCGAGGCGCACTTCCACCGTCACTTCCACTCTCCCATGTCACCCTCAGTTCAGCTGGTGGAACAGCTGATGCCAGTGAAACACGCTGATTGCTTACACCTTTTAAGGGGCAAGCACTGACGTACAGGAATATAAATGGGCACACGTTACTTGCAAAGTCATCTGACGATATGCCCACATTACTAAACAAGAAGTGAAACTAAAACCCATGCCGCCAACCCAGGACCTGCACTTCCCACTAATCCAGAGAGACTCAGATGCACACAGCTGCGCCAGGTGGCCGTGTGGTGCCACTGCATGGGTGCGCACAGAGAATGTGACACTCAGGGGAGGCAGGGCCAACAGCACAGTGGGAAAGGGAGGCTGGAGCCAGGATGAGACCACGCAGGCTGTACTTTCACAGATAGCAAATGGACCAAAGATTTCTCAGCTGCTCCCTCCAAGGAAAGCCTCTGCATCGGTAACTGAGTACTGCAGAGAAGAGGCTACACCCCGGTGAACGTGCTGCTGACTGGCAGACGCTCCAGACCTGGACACCAGCACCAGCAGAAACCATGAGGACTCTGGCAGGGCAGCAGGCATGACATGGAGTCAGTCTCAGAGCAACCTGGACTCTGTCTCACCCACAGCCAGGGGCAGCTAAGAGCCATCCCTCAGCTGCACTGAGAAGAATATGGCAGGGACACAAAGTGACACCCAGAAAGGACACACCCAGTGACATCACAAGGGAGCAACCACAGCACACGGCAAAATCAAGGGGAGAGTAAAGGAGCCCTTGGACCACAGGGACCAGATGGCCACCAGCAGTGAAAACATCCCTGATGCCCCTCCTGGCCCCCTCCGAGGACTCCAGCATCAAGGATCTTCTGCAGCAGCCCCTCAGTCCCCCACACTGTGCAGGGGCCTGGACCACTGGCGGCTACTTGAGGAGCAATGTGCCCCAACAGAGGAGAGAGGCCTCTTGTACCTCTCCTCTAAGACTGCCCCTCACGTCTGCAAAGGACCATTTCACATCCGAGGGCACAGGCCTAGTGTTTCTGCAGATTTACTGAAATACTCCATGGTTCTGACCAAAGCTATTTCAATATGAAGATATTAAAATGACTCGGGACTGAAATCACTCAATGTTTGTAATACTAAAATAATCTCAACTATCTGACACCCATGAATTTTTGCTGTGGTTTTACATTATAACATAATACAAAGCATTGCAAAGTCTTGGCTTGTGGACAGAACAAAATAGTAAGGAATTCTAATGGGACTATGAGGCACTTCATGGGTTTAAATGAGCCAGAGCTTATTAAGTGGTTTTCTTTCCTTAAAAAATGGTGATTAAAAAACTACAACATACATAAAAAACACCACTGAAAAACGTGATTTTAAGACACTTCATGGTATGAACAAAGGTCTAGCATGACTCTTCACTCTTCTGACTTGCACTGAAGTCAAGACACAAAGGAGACTTTCCAGGGGACATCTCAAAGCCCAGCAGGGAGCCAGCCTGCCACTGGCCTTCCGCTTACCTGGCGCACCCACCGCCCACCATCCATCACCCACTTTACCTGGCCCACCCTCAGCAGCTGGGTCCACCCACTGCCCACCCTACCTGGCATGCCCCTCAGCAGCTTGGCGTTGCACATGTGTCCCTTGCGGATGTCGGTGAGGATATACTCCATGCGCTTTGCCCGCCACAGGAAATTGAACACCCGCAAGTAGTGGCTCATGCACTCCCTAGTGAAGACCTAGAGAGGACAGCAGGAAACAGCTCATGACTCCTCCTCCCCCATTGACTCCCTCTGTGCTTGAGTAGCTGAACTACACACCAGGCAGATGCCCACCGGCACAAAGCAGTGGGAAATGGGCTGATTCAGACAACACTGGTATCCAGAGCCCAGCCTGTGTGTGGCCACCTTACCCACTGGCTCCCAGGCCATGTGCACAGTGAGCCCTGCTCCTACGATCACAGCTCAGGGCTCACTTTAGTCTGGGGGGCCATCCAGGGGCACAGCTACTTCTCCGAGCACCTCTGTCTGGTGCCCAAGAACACAGCTTCCCAGCAGGTGACAAGCCCTGGGCTGGGGACCATGCAGGGCCTTAACCTCCTGGTCACTCTCCTGGGCAGCCAAACACAAACCTCAGGGACATCCCAGTAGCTGCTTAGCCTGGATGTGGGTCACACACACACACAGGATAGGTGTTCTGCAAACCGGCACGTATGTGGGCTTGGCAAATTGGGTACATGCCACCCTTGCCTGAGGCTGTCACACCATAGCACCTGGACAGCTGTCATGTGTCCAGTGCTGCTCTGGAGGGTGGCCCGCAGAACCTACCTCATCCACGCTGTGCTCAGCCCCTCTGTTGTGTGACACATCACTGTACCCAAAAGCATCACTGCACCCGCTACCCGGGGAGCCAGGTCCAGCCATGGCTCAGCACTGCCTCTCAGCACCAGGGGACACTGAGGTCTAAACAGGGCTGACCAGAAGCTGCTTTGGACATACTCCAAACCCCAGCCCCAGCGTGTTTAAACTACCCACTTTGCCACTGCAGAAACCAAAGCTGACTGAGGTAGACATCTGGTGACCCAAAGGATTCTTCACTCCACACAACTATGGAACAGGGCAGGGCTCCTTGAGCACCTCACTCTTGTAGCACAATTAAAATCATTTAATTCTTCAATTTCATTTATTCAAACCCTTCAGGGCATTAACTCTCTGAGGGGAGGACGGTCACACTGGGTGGCACCTGTGGGGAAACGCTAATCCACCTCCATGGGTGCCCCAGCTTGCTCGGCCAGGTTGCCTCCCTGCAGAAGGAAGCCCAGGGACTGGGCCCCCAACCCTTGGCAGAGGCGCCCTGGAGACCATTGGCACATGCCTGTCTCAGCCTCACCACCTGCCACACACACCAGTGACCCCAAGGCTCATAAAAGTAAATCATTGGCTTTGCTCAAATCAGGTAAGAATCATGAGAAGCAAGATGGACCAGAAATATCTTAAACATTTAATGATCTGTATTGGCAAGAATTTTTTAATAACCTGAGTTTTGGATGTGTCAGATTAATTTGCAAAATCTAGACCTAACAGAAAATTTCACTGATATTCTGTATCACAGAATTTGCATGCAGCTCAAATTGCAGTGTCATACAGAAATGATTATTATAAAAATGCCCCCTTGTAACTCTGTGTAAAAATGACAACCACAACCAATGGAGAAAGGAAAGAAAGCATAATAAGGTAATAGATAATAAGGAGCTTGAGAGTAGAAAGGAAGAAAGCCACTTTCTTCCAGACTTTCTCTACCATGCTAGGTTTTCTAGCAGCGTCTGCACACGGCTCAACCTCTGGTAATGACTGCAGCTTCCAGTGACCTGGGCGCTCGTTGTGTGGCTGTGGCTAAAACTGAGCTCAACACATTAGGCACAAGGCAACGTTAACTGCAGGCTGGAGCAGCACCCGAGGGAGCCGCGCCCCAGGCCCAGGCTCCCGCTCTCTCCAGAAGCCCGGGCTGTAGGCTGCAGGGCTGCCAGAGGCATTTGCATTTTATGTTACTTTGGCTTTTTGAGATAGGGTCTCACTATGCATGTCAGGCCTGTCTGGAGCTCACAGCAGTCCCCTGCTCAGCCTCCCATGTACTGGGATTGCAGGCATGTGCTACCATCCCCAGCTTCACAGATGTTTTTAAACCTGTCTTTCTACCAGAACTTTAAAACTATAAATGCTGACAGCACTGGATGCACAACTGTCTAAGCACATGGCACATGATGTGCTGCAGTGTGCAGTGTTGTAGAACAATCAGGTCACTGTACACCCAGACATGTCAGTTTACCTGCTCTATGCATAGTCGCTGTGATCGCCTTTCTGGGCATCTCTAGATCATCTCTGTGATGCCCTTTCTGGGCTTGGAACACGGGGCTGCATTTGGCAGTGCCCCAACCCCAGCTCCGCTCAGGTCACTTCCAAGCCAGGACAGTGACAGTGGTGCACATGGACTGACACGCACCATGAAGAAGTCTCCCCATGCCAGCCATATGTAAGGACACCACACTGGGCTGCATCTCGACCTGTAGGCAGGGACTCTGTCACACCACCTCCGAGAGGGAGACCCCTGGGGCGACTCACTCACACCACCTGGGGGAGAGAGACCCGTGGGGGAACTCAGTTAAAGTACCCTAGCTGCTGGGGTGCAGACCTCGGTGCAGAACACACTCCCCTATGGGGTGTCACCTGTACAAATGACCAAGAATCACCAAGCTATCCTGCTGCTTAACTAAGTATTTTCCCCAATAATTAAAAACATGCAATGTCCTCTCCTTACTACTTCAGCTACACACAGGGCTGAAGGAAGTTTAAAGATTCGCTGTGGTCAAGGAGAATAGTTTCAGGCCTGAACAAAGAAAGGAGCCTGGAAAGAGGAAGCAGAAAGCGGCATCTTAATTGCAGACACGTAAGACTACACCGTGCTGGCCGACCTTTTGTGATTTGGTTACTGTGAAAAGAAACGGTACTTTCCTTCACATACGGTAAAAGCACCATGAACAATAGTACAGCTATTTTCTCATCAGTTTAAATGAATACTAAATATCAAATTTTATCTAAGTAGTAAAAATACGATTCTCCTAAAATACACTTTATAGTTCCTTTCAAATTATCCTAAATTAGTTGCTACAGTCTAAGAATAATAGAAGAAAATGAACAATCCATTTATTAAGTACTCACTGAAACCTATGCTGGAACAAATGATATTTTTAAGAATTATTAAAATAATAGCACATTTCAGCACTCATTAATAATTATTTAAAACACACAATTTTGGCTTAAGTGTTCATTCAGTGGGCCTGGCCTCCCTGTCACAGTAATTGTAATCAAAGTTCTGTAAGAAGGACGCTGCTTCCACAACACCTAGAGCTGTGAGGGCCTCACCGTGGCGATCGGGCCATCGACGTGGTAGTCCAGGCTGAAGACGTCCCACCCTGTGTCGCCTGGCGAGACCTGAAGGCAAAACAATCGGAGACTGAGCTAGGCATGAACCACCTGCAACTCCTAAAAGGAACGGCTTTGGTGAAGGTCAAGGGACAGGCAGACCCTTGAAACGCAGCCTGGGAATAAACTTTACCTCACAGCACGAATGTCTAGCTCAGTGACAGCAAGGAACTCCCTGTCAACCTGGTGTCCTCAGCAACTTGATCACGACAGGGCACAGGGAAGCACACAAGTACTCAAGGATGAACAGCATGCTTTCCAACGAGTACCAAAAAATATGTTCAAAACTCACTGCCATGTTTATGACAAACAAGACCCACTGCCCCATAATGCGTTCCAAATCTCTAGAAGTCCGCATTTTAAGAAATCCAAGCTGGGGGGGGGGGGGATTTAGCTCAGCGGCATAAGCACCTGTCATGGGTTCGATCCCTGGTACCGATAAAAAAAAAAAAACGAAGAAATCCAAGCTGTGTGCTAGTGCACACCTATAATCCAGCACTCAGGAGGCTGATACAGGAGAATTTTGAGTTTAAGATCAGCCTGGGCTATACTGTGGGAACTTTCTCAACGACAGAGAGGCAGAGCAGGCAGGAGGAAGGGAGGGAAACCAACAGGTTCCTCTAACCATCCCCAGCCCAGCCCAGCAAAGGGGCTCATTACACCCTGCCCTAAGGACACAAAGCACTGAGTACCTGCCTTGTGCTACCCTGGCCCCGGAGCCTAACTGGTAACCGAAGTGCTCCCTCTGCAGGAGAGGAGACCACTGGGCTCCCCGGAGACACATGCTGCAAGGCAAGGCTGCCCAGCAGGCTGGTGCCCAGGACCGCCCAGGTCGTGTGCCGAGGAGCTGCCCCACACCCGCACCCGTGCCTGTGCCCCTACCTCCAGCAGCCGCACGTCCAGCCTGCGCAGGATCTCGGGGCTGTCGAACTGCGCATTAGTGGCTCTGACAGCAGTTTCCAGAATCCCGGTCAGATTGTGCTGATACAGAGTCGTTGCTGGACGGACAAGTTCTGGTCTTGACAAATTTTTTTAAATTGTTACTTGAACTTCTAAAGAACTTTAGAAAAATTTAAGAGTCCAAATGATAAAAACTCAAAAGACCTATGGGACCAATAAGACGTGATTACAAGGGATCTGAGGTATTAACTGCACACAAGGCCTACCAATTATTCAGGGCATGAAACATTTCTATAAAACCTCACGCCAGGGGGCTGGGGATTTAGCTCAGCGGCATAAGCGCCTGCCTTGAAAGCAGGCAGTCGTGAGTTCGACCCCAGGTACCGATAAAAAGGAAAAAGACAAAAAAAAAAACCTCACGCCAGGTGTAGTCATGTACACCTGTAACCTTGGCACTTAGGAGGCTGAGGCAAGAGAAAACCGTGGCAAGCTGGAGGCCATCCTGGGCTACACAGGAAGTTCAAGGCCAGCCTGAATTGCACGGCAAGACTCTGTCCCAAAACAAACAAAAATAAATAAAACTTCAAAACTGTTAATTTTGAGTCCCTTAAACTGGAATTATTCTGAATGCTATGCACGCTAATGAGTCAAGTGTTCACACCTAAGTCAGGCCTATGAGTAGCACAAGCTATTGTGATTTCCTACAGAGGCCCGGGGGGAGAAAGCGCTTCACCCATGGGACCCAGACACAGGCTGCTCCAAGCCCAAGGGCCCAGCTCTCTCAGGGTGTGTAGCCTCACATCAATCTGGGTGCACAGGCATCACAGCGAGGCATTTGCTCCCTTTCACAAGCGGCTCTTAAAACAGCCTTGAGAATACAACAGGAAGACAACACTGACATATGTGCCTCTCCACACTGCTCCTCTGCTTGCAGCAGGCCCGGCACCCACGCCCTCCCCACTCAGGTGTGGCATCTCCAACGTGCACTTCAGACCGTCTGGCACCTGACCAGCAGCAAGGCCCTTTTACTCAGGCAGGGAAGTCAGTGGTCCCCTGCCTCAAGCCAGCTCACTCCAGAGTGGGAGAGGCTCTCGCACTGAGGTAAGCACTCAGCTGCCTCAGATCGGGTCCCAGTTGCAGCACCCTTTCCCGGCCACTCCACAGCACCTGTACCCTGCACACCCTTAAGGTCCACCCAGACCTTTAGCTCAGCCTGGCTCAAAACCGCAGGCCAGAATGAGTGGTGGACTGGCACAGGCAGGAACTGAATGACTCCTGCTCACTCCTCTGCATCCTAAGAGAACACCACAGCCACAAAGTCTCTGCTGGCATGAGCGCCTCAGTATAAGGCCCTGCCATGCTGTGGGCACAGGGCCACCTTACTGGCCAAGGCAGGAGTGCTGGCCTGCACTGAGCTGAGACCCTGACTCTGGAGAAGGAGTAGGACCAACAGGGAGCTCCACAAAGGATGACGGAAGAAGCCAGGCGATAAGGCAGTGGTCTCTTCAGCTACAGAAAGTTACAGTAACTAAGCAGGGACAATAAAAGCACAACGTACAGTATATACTTCTGCTTAACTTCACACTGGTCCCAAAGCAAGCCTAGTTACTGTCCGTGCCACTACCCTAGTAAGGACAAGATCACAGGGTCTCCTGGGTACAAAGCAAGGCCAGCGCTGACTAGAGCCCAGAGCAAAACAAAGGGACCTCAACCTGTGAAAATGTCACAATGCTATCTTTGCTAAGAATTCAACTCATTCCCCTCTGCCACCATGGATGCTTTTACCAGAACTGGTCAGAACCTTTCATGCTAAAAGATAGCATATTTTATAAAAGTCAAACAGTTGCAGTTTCTTACTTCAGCAAATCCATCAAGTGCCTTATAAAGTCTCCTTGACCAAGCAGCAAGTACCGCCTCATCGCCTGCATGTGGTCCAGCAAGCTGTACTTTTTATTGAGAACATCCAGTAGATATTTGCTGGTCTCAAAATAAGCAGCATCAATTTTCCCTTGAAAGGCATTTTCTAAATCTGTGAATAAATCCGCAGCTGTAAAGAACAAAAGGGGAAAGCACACATACATATGTAACATGTATTTACACAGGACAGGGAGGCTGGCACTGACGACAGCCCACGACCCACAGCAGCACCCATGGCAGACCCCGCCCAGCCACCACAGCTGCACGGTCAGTGATGGCCACGGGACACAAATCAGCTTCGACAGTCAGGTCCAGGGGAACAGCCGCAGGGCTGCTCATGACTTCAAGGGTCCTCTCCACACCAGGACCACACTGAGTCTCACTAACAGTCACTCAGTGGCACCGACTTGAGTCACCCAGGAAACTTGCCAAAACCTAGCCCAAGCCCAACTCCACCCACATGTATGAGCTGCAAGCTGTACAGCTCCTCATGGGCTGGGCACGATGGTCACAAGGCCTACTCAGCAACCCACAGCACACTCTTGGCCGTCGCTGGAGACTGTCCAGGCAGCAGAATCAGACAACACAGAAGCCTAGCTCCAAGAAGGAAAGCAGGAAAAGAAGTGTTTGTTTCCATAGCTTCCCACTGAAAAGAAACAATACAGAGACGACAGACACAATAGAGCTTTTATAATGCTAATTTACATCTGTGTAGTTCAAATCCCGGTTTTATATCTGAACACTGTATTTCACAGTAGCACTTGAGCTAGAAAGTAATCCAAAATGAGGGCATAATCTAAGAGGAAGAAAGGGAAAACACGGGCTCAAGGTGATGCTGGAATCTGAGCAGCAAAGCTCTGCTTTCAGGCTGAACCTCCCTCGATGACCTGGGTTAACCCGAGTGGGAGGACCACGACACTGGAAGACTCTGTCCTCCAGAGAAGACCTGCTGAGGTGCAAGCAGCTTTAGTACTGCTGTCACTCTGGATTCCTCAAAGACTTTGCAAGGTGTGAAGTCTGGCCAGGGCATGGGTCCTGGGCTTCACTCCCGCTGAGCAGAATGGCCCTAAGAATGTATTTCCCCCAGCAGTGTGTTTCTCATCGGAGCTACTACACTTTTTGAATCTGGTAAAGAAAGTTTAAACATTAACCAGTTTCAGCCCAGAGTAGCCTTTCATCTGCTCCACCCTGGTTTCTGCACTCTCAGCCCCAGCTCCTTGCATTTCCTTCTGGACTCTTGATTCGTACTTTTAAATCCTCAGAAGTTCTGCACAGATGGATCGCAGCTGACATTGTCCACTGCCTTTGTTATTATAGTCTGTCGTGGTTTGCACTTCTGTGTTCCCACCACACTACAAACAGAGCAGAAGAAATCTCACTGTCCACAAACACTGGCTGTAGCAAAGGACCAAGGGGTCTGTGGGAGTCGTCACCAACAAAAAACAGTAACGGAGACACAGCAGTAGGGGAACAGCAGCAACAGCAGCAGCAGCAGGAACAGAAGAAGGAAAAACAGTAGCAGAGCGACTCAGCATAGCAGAGTAACAGCAGCGGTGTTGCTGACAGCAGGAAATGTAGTGCAATAATAAGAGCAGTAGTGGTGACAGTGGTGAGTAATAAATAACACGGCAGTAACAACCACAGAGTAATAACATAAGCAGTGCCAGCCAGCCGAGGAAAAGAGCACACTGTAACAGCAGCAGCAGAGCAACAGCAGCAGTAACAGAAGTGAAGTACTAAAAGCAGTGTAAGCAGTAACAGCAACAGTAACAATAACAGCAGAGTAGTAAGGGTAATAACAGCACAGAGCAGTAACAGCTGTAGGATAGGAACAGCAGTAGCAATGATAGGAACAGGAATAACAGCAGTGAGAGTATTAACAGTGAAGGTACCAACAGCATTAAAGATCTAACAGCATAAATAACAATAGTAAAACAGTGACAGCAGTGGAGTGACAGCAGTGAAGCGCAAAGGCACGGGGTAACAGCGGCGGGGCAGCAAGGGCACGGGGGTAACAGTGCAGGAGGCAGGGGCACGGGGTAACAGCAGCAGGGTGGCAGGGGCACAGTCATCACGCAGGACAGCGGTAAGGGTGGCTGAGTAGTAACAGCAGTAGAATGGTAGTAATAACAGCAGAGTAACAACAGCAGAGAACAGCAATGCAGCGTCACTAACAACAGCAGATAGTAACAGCAGAGAGTAGTAACAGTGGTAGAGTGGTAACAGCAGAAGAGTAACAACATTAGAGTAGTAAAGGCATGGAATAGTAACCGCACAGATAGCAACAGCCACCCAGTGGTAAGGGTAGTAGAGCTGTCACCCCAACACACACAAGGGCAGTAACCAAAATCCAATGGGGGCAGTGGTCTCCACCCATCCCCTAGGGAAACTCCCTCAGACTTCGTTAACACCTCTCCGGCACCTTGTCCTGTGGCAGATGAACTAGGAGCACCTTGTGATACCCAGCTGATCTGAGTCAGTGTGGTGCTGGTGCAGAAGGCCATCTGAGGATCAATGCCAACAGCATAAAAGGAGAACTAGAGGGGAAGATGGCGCTGTGATTCTCCTGCAGAAGCTTGTCACGCCGGCTTGCTGACATGAACTCATGTTTTCTCATGACACAGAAGCCTGGGTGCTCGATGTGGCTGAGGATGGCTGCTGTGGTTCTCTTCAGAGAAGCTCTGGTCCTTACCTTGAGTGTCGCTTCCTGCCTCCAGGGCAGATCCCTCAGCTGCTGGCACAGATCCTTCACCAGCTGGTGCAGACTTTCTAGCTTCTACTGCTGACTTCTGGGCCTTCACAGAGCAGATCCTCTATACAAACTCGCATGAGACACTGTTGTGGGATCTAGGTCTTCAACTGGATTTGTGCAGGACACTGCCATGGGATCCAGGCCCTCAGCTGGATTCTTTGAGTCTCGAGTGCAAGGACAGATGCTTGCACTCTTCTGCATTTGAGTCTTTGGGTGACTCTTATAAAATAATCCTATAAGAGATGTGTCCTCTACTAAATTATTGTCTTGTAGGTCCTGAGCACAACATCCTCTCCACACACCACAGAAAGGTCCTAACACCAGCAAAGCAAATGCTCTCCTGGCTCTTCCTTCTACATCTTCAACCTAGGCCTCTCCCCCAAAGGTGCATTTGGATCCCATCTCCTACTCCAGGAGCGAACGCAGAGGCAGAGGAAAACCAAATAAAAGCGCAGTAGGTACGAGACCACAGCACTCCCCAGTCCCAAGGGCCCTGACCCTGACTCCGGGACGCACTTTGACACCATTCCTGACACAACATCTCAGCAACGTGATCTCTGAGCAAATGCAACAAAAGCAGCAAATACAGCCAGTGTTAGAAAGCCAGACAAATACGTTAGCCACAAAATACTGCAAGACAGCTAAAGCTGGAGCAGGCAGCAAGAGAAAATGCGAGAAAGGGACAGCAAGTGAGGAGAAGCCACGGCCTTACAGGGCAGACGGAACTTCAGCCAACACTAACTCAGCCATTAATCTCTGCTTTCCACACACGCCCCGAGCCCCAAAGTGCACTGCCACTGCAGCACCTACCCGTCTCTTCTGGCGCATGTCACCTTGCAGTTAGGAAAAGTGCTATTCAAACCACTAAGCAGGACCGAAGAACTATACCTGTTCCAATACCTACTACCTTCTCTGGGTAAGGGGGTTAAATATTCAGAGGGCAAAGCATCTTACAAATATACACACACATATATATTATACTATGTATGACAGCACCTTAGTGATTCAGATAAACTATAAATCCTATACATTTTAAATTATGTTTGTGTGTATGTGTATATACAGAAACAGACAGATATAATATCATCACCATTATTAGTATCACCATCACTTATGTCACCATTCCAATCACATTGTACTCCCCCAAATCACTAACACCACCATCATCCCCATGGCCACCATCTCCATCACCCTCCCCATGGTCGCCATCACCATGGCAACCATCAACATCCCCATGGTCACCATTACCATCCCCAACCACCCCACAGCCACCTTCACCATCCCATCATCATTCCCACCCCCACCCCCATCCCCATCAGCCACATACCATCTTGGGGTGACTCTGCTGACTTGGTCACAGCTATCATCTTTGTAGTAGGTGTCTGATCATGACAAACTTGATGCAAGAAATTTATTGATTTTCCTATCAAAAGAACCTGAAATGAAAAACATCTTACAATTACATAAAGTTTAAACAGTCATCAAATACTACAAATATTCTACAAATGTCACAAATTGGCTATGGATTAAAAACCACGTAACCTGAGCACTGGATCTAGTATAAAATAAACCCTCAAACTCAAAACATACATTAGCAAATGTAACAGCATGCTGATGCACCCTGGTAACAAACGCACCACCTCACAGGGAACAACCCTGGAATGCCACAAATTTATTTAATTGAAAATCAGCTTTGTCACATAATTCAAATATACAGAGCAATACAGCCTTAAAATTACAGGATTCTCTTCTAACCCTACCTTCCTAGATTGATCCATTGTCATAAAAGAAGGAATCATGGATTTCCTCAAAGTATACTTGTCATGCCACAGTCGATCAGTTTTAACTGCTGGATCTGACGCTACAAAAAACTGAAAACAAAAGTGCATTATTAGGTAACAGTGAGATACACTGGATAGTGGAACCATCAAAGAATACATTACTCCAGAAGGTTACACACACTGGACAAAAATCTGAGCTAAATTATGTTTCCTAGACTTGTAACACCAAACAAAATCAAACTGTGCTTTTCTCAGTACCTCATTAGGAGTGAGGCTCAAGTTAGCCTCTACCAGGCAGGCCTGGGGACATGCAGCTAAGGGCTTCTGCCTCGGAAACTGTGCAGGCTGAGGCCTGGTGCCGTGCTTGGGTCCCCGTGCCCTACCCCCACACTCAGCCATGCTTCTCTGGGGTCTGCCTGCCCGTACTATCCACTCCACAGCTCCAGCACAGAGCAGCACCTGGGTCTGGGCTGTCTGCTCACTTACAGGGCCAAGCTCAGCCTGCCACCCAGGGACCTAGGTGGTACACTCACTGACAATGTGAGGAGCAGTAAGGAGCAGCTAGCTGCACAGCACTGTGGGAAATAACCTTTCCTTTGTGGCCCCGCAGGGAAGCCCCAGGATCAACCACATTTTCCTCTGTGAGAGCAGCAGCACCTTCAGTCCTCCCCAGGCCCTAGTGGCACGAAGAAAATCAGACTGCTGCTGCTTCAGGTTATCTGCCACTACAACACACAGACTGTCACACCTGTCCTTTTAATTTCCATCAGCGCATGTCTAAAAGCAGAACCGCAGAGCGAGGTCATCTCAAGCTCTGCCTTTCAGCACCACAGTTTGCAGACACTGCAGGCCAGCAGCAGCCCTGACCCTGTGTAGCCTGGCTAGGTGCAGGCTCTGCGAGCTGCTCAGGTGAAATCTGTCACCCGGCATCGCTACCTCCTGGCCGCAAATGAAACTGCGCATAGAGTCAAAACTCTGTCACCAGTTTTTCCTCCCATGAGGTATCTGGGCTTATGATCCACCTTTCTAATCATTTTGTCGTTTTCTTACTCTACATAGAGTCTCTGTACATTAGGGACAGTGACCACTTATACTTACAAATTTAACTTTTCTAAGCTAATCACTAGCCATTGTTTATGCTACATTCTGTGTTTCTGTTTGTTCTGCCCCATTTTCCTGTTACATAAACATTCACCTTCCTCACTAGCTTCCGGGCTGCCGGACAATGGCCCCATTTCTGGGCTAAAGAAAGGCTCTCCACCGACTTCCTCCAGCGTGTCCACAACATCCCGCTGACGACTCTACCCTTGGTCACTCGGCACTATGTCTGGCCACAGCCCTGCAGGCACCTGCTTCTATGAGGTGCGTCCTTTGATGCTGGACAGCCTCACTCCTCCAGTGTGCCCCTTCCCCATGGGCCACCATCCCAATTCATGCTGCTGACAGACCAGAGGGGAGGGCCCTGTCCTCTGACCATGCTGAGACCAGGCAAGCCCTGTCCTTGCCCTCCTCCCAGGCACCTGTCATGGGGAAGGGCACCAGAGTTTGAGCCTCCTCCTGTCCTCACACCCCCTCCTTGTAGAAGAGGGAGCTCTGCATGCCATGCTTCCCTGAGGTCCCACCTCTATGGGGACAGGGTTCTTCCTCACTTCCTGGTATTGGAGGGCTCCAGCTCATCTCATCTCCACGATCTGCCGCTCTACCAAGGTACCAGGCTCTCTCCGAGAGGGACACAGCCAGTGGACCCAACCCCAGCCCTTAGGACCAGAGCCCAGGGTGGAGTGGACATCAGCCTGGCCCCCCAGGCCACAGAGTCCACCTAAGTCAAAGCTCACCACAAGCACCTATCACCCCAGACCAGCGGCAGGGAGAACACCCAGCGGACTGCTGAGGCTGAAACAGTTCAGTAGTTACAAAACAGCACAGAACTGCCCATCTCCTGGCAAGATGTAAGTGATCCAAACCTGACCCAGAAGAAAGAGACCCCCAAAGAGCAATTTCCTTGCAAGAAACAGGAAATATAAATGCCATCACTAAGGCTGAGGTCTGCCGACCTTCTCTTTAATGGCACCGTTCTGATGCAGCTGGAAGGGTTCAAGACCACAGGGAAGTGTGCTAAACGGCCCCATCTGTTGCATGAAATCAGTGCAACACTAGCACTGCTGATAAAAAAACGCCAGAAATTATTACAGCAGTTTCACTCCTGAACACAGAGGAATAAATTCTGGATAAAATTATTCTTGTCTTATTAGAATAAAATATTCTTGGTCAGGGCATATTACTGTGTAAAAGCAAGTGAATATATAATAAATTATAAAATAGTAATCATTAAAATAGCCTGTCGTTAACTATCACAGACTCTGAGGAAGCTGGCATTTTCATTAAGAATCACACATTGACAAATACAAGGTTTGATATCTTATTTGAGTTTCTGAGGTCATTTTAAGAATAATAATATTAATGGTAACAAATACTATTTATTTCAAGGAAAAAATAAATGTTATAAAATAGATACATAGAACACACACATAATAAAAATGGGCATACATATAAATATCATCTGCTCATTACGATGAATATTTAATTTTTTTCCTCTGTGTTTATATAATCAAAAGGTTTAAGTTGTATAAATTGTGTGTGTGTGTGTGTGTGTGCCAGGGATCAAACTTACGAACCTCGCACTTGCCAGGCAGGTGCTAGAGCCACCGAGCTATGTCCCTACACTCTGTACAAAAAGTTTTAAATCAGAAAAAATTATCGTTCAGTAAAAGAATTAGCAAATAAGTTAGTTTCCCTAGTGTAAGAAATGGTAAGAATACATAAAAGTATGTGGTAGCCATGATTCCCCATTTTATTGTTTTGTTTGTTTGTTTGTTTTGTTTTTTTGAGAGAGGGTCTCACTATGCAGTTCAGGCTGGCCTTGAGCTCACTTTGTAGCCCAGGCTGGTCTCAAACTCGGAATGATCCTCCTGCCTCAGCTTCCCAAGTGCTGGGATTACAGGCATGAGCCACCACGCCCGGCAAAGCCATACAATGTTTTCATTCATTATTGGAATGGTTTTATTCTGGGGTGTTTGATTTTTTTGTCTGTAATGGTATGAACAGGTTTTTTTAAGAAAACAAGACTATAATAGCTAGTGCTGATTTAATATCAACTTGTTTTGAAGTCCCACCAAGTTTTTGTTCTTCTGTCTCCATTAGTTTTATCATGTTGTATCTTATTGGATTTTATTATATGTAATAGTATAAATAAAAATTTTTATAGTCAAGGAGATAATATAGAAATCGTTGTTCATTTTCTGTTAGTGGGTTCTAAATATCCTATAAGACTTTTACCCTCTTGAATGGTTTTACACTGTCCTGTTATGTTTGATAGCATACGAAGACATACTCAAACATTTCAAGGAAAGAGACACTATGGTAACTACTGTTATGTTTGGTTATCCTTTGGTGAAACACTATGTTGCTTAAATTGTTGTGTTCTGACCTGTGTTGTTATGTCCTCTTTCATTTTACTCTCCCCTTTTATATATATATATATTTTTTTTTAATTTAAAAAAATTTAAAAAATAGTAAACATGTTACTGGTATTTTTTTAATGACATAATTTTCATAGGATAATTAACAAAGATGTGTTTTCTTCTGGCACAGACATTTACTACGGAGGGTAAATATTCAGAGAAACACAATTTAAATGAGGCCAAGTTCTTCCATCTGAGCCTTGTAACAGCAAGGCAGTATCAATTCTGTATATTCTCCGTCCTTTGGAAGTAGGCACAAGAATAAATGGTAACATTTTTATAAATGCGGGATGGGAATGCTACACTTGTAACTAAAATTTACCTTTACCATCAATTTCAATGACTAACAGGTTCACTGATCTTTCTGTTCTTACTTTTTAAATGTGTAATTCCTTTCTGCTTACAGCACATAACTAAGACTGCCTACTGAGAAACACAGTTCTACCCTGATGAGGTTCTCATCACTCCCGCACACACTGAACTCATCCCGGATAAGAACCAAAACCCATCCATGCGCACTGTGAGTCTCACGTCAGCCAGTCACAGTGCTGGGGCTGCTCTAGGGCTTGCCACCCAGCAGATCAGATTAACTGCTTACCAATTCTATTGTCTGTTATTCACTGAAATAGAAGCGTTAGTTTTTTCAGACAACACGCTAACTCGCCCCGAAGGCTGGACAGCAGCTGGTTTCTATCTGGGCAACAACAGGAAAATTTAATTTAAACCCTGAGAGGCCCCAGGCAACTAGGTCATCCTCCAAGCTGAGCACTCGCAGTGGCCAGCAGACGGCAGTGCACACAGAGCAGGACCCAGAGCAGAACCAATTGCCCGGCAAACACAGCAACAGGAGCGGAGGTCAGAACAGAGCTGCAATTCGCTCATCTTACCGGCACATCTTCCTCTCAAGGCCTTTCCGTTTACACCACTCTGTCAACTCAACAGGAAGCGAGAGAACACGTTACTGGGACTGCCCCGTGACCTCTCATCACTGTGGAGCAGACACCAGGCCTCCGACGAGACACAGTGAGAAGGGTGCTCTGAGTGAGCAGCTTTCCTCTAGGTCTGTGGGACACAGACCCAGGGAGACCACTTCAACCCCGCCGCGCTGCAGGCCACCACGTGAGGCCAACATGCCTGGGGATGGCACACAGTCAGTCTTTGCCACGAGGGTCACATACAGTGTCTCACAGGGCAAGGCCTGCTTCCTCGGGTCCACTCCGCAGCCCTAAACCTGTCACTTGTTTTGAAGCCGGCGTGCGGCCCAGTCACCAGAGCTCAGAAACACAGCCGATTGACTGTGGTGACTGCTCCTGGACCCTGCTCACTGGAGAGCCTGTTTTTTAGACGCAGGTGTCTCTCTCAGCTCTGTGACCCTACACAGTGCTCACACGCGTGCGAGCGTGTGAGCGTGCGTGTGTGTGTTACAGTTCCTCCTCTTCCCAGTCTGGAGTTCCAATGCTCCTGGCCTGCCCAGGCTCCCTGCATGGCATGGATCAGGAGCAGGAATGTAGACAAAGCAGGCACTGCCGCCTTTCACCAAGGCTGTGCGGCTGGCAGTCCCAGAGCTCCAAGCCGCCCTTCACACCTCAGTTCCTTTATTCTTAACTCGGTGCTTTTATCAGGGAAAGGTGCTGAATCTCACCAAATGCTCATCAGCGAAACCACGCTGATTACGTGTCTTCTGCCTTCCTGGTTCTGTCCTGTTGTGGTGTGTTACATTAACAGCTTGCTTTTTACTGAACGGCCAACCTTCTTGGCCAGGGCTGGGGTCCAGTCCTTTCAATGAGGTGAACTGTTTTCCAGTGCTTTTGTTATCCGGGATTTTATACCTGTAAGCATAAAGGGTGTGGGCATACAGTCTGTGCAGCGCTAGAGGGCCTGGTAAGATAGGGCCCTCCCACTCTACTGCCCAAAGGGTTGGAAGACCTAGTGTTCCCGCTTCAAATATTTGGCTAGCATTCTCTAGAGCAGCTGTGCACTCACGGGCTGTTCTTCGTTGAATTTTCTGGATTATGGTTTCAATTTCTAACTAAGCAGGTTGATGCAGACTTCCAGTCTCTTTGCATGCATTTCTAGGCACTCTCTCTGGTTTTATTATCTGGAAATCTTAAGTTCTAGGTCCCAATGAGTCTTTCCTCTGCCGTCGAGCCCACGCTCCACCACCGCTGCTTCCCAGTTCCCCACAAGAAGTGCTCGTCACATGTGTGCTTGCCTCTGCTGCTTAGAACCTTTCACTGGTTTGGCTCTATATGGCTGATCGTTCTCCTGTTTGGGTCTCTGTGTTCATACCACACTGAGTTTGCTGAGGCCCCTGGACAGGTAGATTCGTGATTTTCTGCACTCACAACCATTTCATTCCCCAACCCGGGAGCCACAGGATGCCTGAGTACTGTGTCTGCCTTCCTCCTTTTCCTCTGGGTCCTGGTGACCTCCCTCGTCCTTCTGTAGCCCCGACTCTCCTCTCCCTCCAAGCACCACTGCAGCGCTACAAGCGGCTCTCCTCCAGCACCAGGCTCTCCAGCACCATAGTTTCTGTGTCGGTCCTGATCCTTTCTTTGCAATTTCTACCTCTTGCTTGGTATTTTACTCTCTTATGGTTGTGGGAAGTGGCACTTCCTATACAGACATTCCATTATGCAGCTCCTGCATCCAGAGACACCTGAGGAAATTCAGTGTTACAATTTGCAATTCACCTTAGCCAGAGTGAGAAAAAGTTACACTTATCAGAAACAAAGACAAAAATTCTCAGGTTTTAATTACATAATGATCAAGTACACAATGTAATTCTTGAAACTAGCAAATGTGTATGATACAAGTATTACTTAGAGAACTTTTCCAAAATTAAAGACTTAAATGAAAATTTGTAAAGGTAGGGTTCCGACCAGATAACAGGAGATGAAAAGATCTACAAAGAGACCAGAGGCCTTGAGGCCACCACCCCAGGAATCCCTCACCCTCAGCCTCGTTCTTCAGGGCTTGGCGTGGTGCTGGGTGAGGTATCATGTGCTTCCCAGGTGCCTGACTCCAACCTGGGCAACACAGGACCCAGGGGCAGCCACAGTGCACCCTGAAAAATGGAAGAAAGGACTGAGGCAGAGGAAAGATCCAGGACACAGAAACCCAAAGCACCAAGCTGGGACCAGACTGCGCATCAAGTGAGCCCACCAACATGGAAGTGAAGACAGAGCTGCCCCCAGCACCGGATGAAGCCCACACAGGCAGGCACTGATCCCATACTCGGGACTGGTCAGGGCTCAGGTAGCTCACACTGTGTTCAGTCAAGTACTGTGAAGTGCTTCCTCTCCCACCTGCGCACCTCAGGGAAAGGCACAGCCACTGCACTGGGTCATAGGCAAAAATACCAGCTCCACAGCAGTTTAAATAGTGATGTGACTCTAAATGCAAAGCAAATTACAAGCTCAGACAAAAGGCAATTTAAAAATGCACATAAAAAGCTAAAAATAATAAAATAACCTAGATCTACACAAAAGCTACAGATTAAAGGGGAGTGCAGGCCCAGAACTCGGGAAGGAAACAGAATTCCTTATCCTACTGAGGGAAGAGACCAACCTGGCCTACGGAAGACATCAGCACTGGTGAGATGCACAACACTGAAAGCTGAGTTGCCTCAAAATAACCATTAGTGAAAGACAACCCTCTTCAGGGCTTTCAATTCTGTTTTACTAGCATAAGTACACAGGAGGATGAGCCAGGCGAGGTGTCACACATCCACAATGCCAGGTCTCAGAGAGGCTGAGGCAAGAGACTGCGTGAGTTCAAGACCTGTCTGGGCTACACAAGGAGACTTTGTCTCAAAAAACCAAAACAAAAAGCATAGGAAGCATAAGAACACCTTAATCTAGAAATTAAATATGCAATCACTATAAAAATACAAACAAAACTTTTAGCAGAACTGACTAGTTAATTCTAACTGCCTACGTAAAAATGTAGACAGTAATGAAACTGAAAAGAGAAAAAGGCTAGGCATGTGGCTCAGTGGCACAGCACTGCCGCAAGGGGGAGGTCATGAGTTTGATTCCTGGTACTAGAAGAAAAAAAAAATGAAGTCTGCATCTCTGCAGCCTGCGGATAGGAACCCATACAGCAGAGCCATTTCAATAACATTCCCAAAAGACAGGGAGACAGGAAGTGAAAGATCCAGAAACAAGGGCTGAAGTGTGGCTGGGAGCGTGGGAAGCTAGTGACGGAGTGCAAACTTGTGGAGTGTTTGTCCAGGCACAGTCGAAAAGGTAGTATCTGTACTACTACTTTTCTGTAAGTCTTAAATAATTCAAAAATGAAAGAAAAGTGAAATTATATATACAACATATCCAAATACCTAATACTACCCATGATTCAGTTCTAGAAACATCCACAGGAAAAATAGGCAAAGGAACATGAATGGGCAAATAGTAGAAAACAGAAATACCAATAAGCTGAAGAGCTGCATGATCTTACCAGGAACCAGGGAAATGCAAATTAGTGCCACAATGAGTCGGCCCATTCCCCACATTAAAGCAGATGCATCTGTACTAATGCCAAGAAACATGATGTGAGGAGCAGAGCAGAAGAGAAAGACCCATGGCACAAGCTAGTGTAGGACGCACACGCCACCACACAAGGATGCAAGCCCTAGCCACACTCCGGGCTGAATGCCACTCATCTGAAGTGCAGGGAGCCAAAAGTGTTGAGGATTTCGGATTCCGGAATAGCAACATTCTTCACGTAGCAGCCGAGGTCACTGCATGTCTAGGTGGTTAAACAGACTGGCCACTAGATAAGGAGCTGTACATGGTACAAGCACTGAAATGTTCAGCACAAGGAAGCGGCCAAAGGAGACACCAACTTGATGACCTGGCTTGTGTGTGCACACCTTGTACCCACAGTGCTGTAACAGACAACAGCACATAAACCCACAGGGCTGCACCATGCTGTACTCAGGCGGAAACTCCGTGCTGTATAGACAAGGTGTGCAGCACAAAACAAGACCCTGGGGCTTCCTCCGTAAGATCACAGAAAGAAAAGCCAGGTCGTTATGTCCAAAGAGTACGCTGCGGTTTAAGTCCAGTGGTTAAGCAGTATCTGTACTGGCATGCACGTAATGCAATGCATAAACACTCAATTCCTTCATGTTCCACACACACAAGCTGGAGGCCCTGTGGACAGTGTTTCAGTGGGCACGCCTCTGACCATCACCTGAGGCTATTTCAGAGCACCTCAGATCCCGATGCTCTAGGCTGAGACACTGACCCTGTGGTAGGTAAACCTGCAACAGATCCACCTGAGGGTCCCGACTTGCAGAATGTTCTCCAACACGACCATCATAGGGCCAGGCTTCATAAGTGTCTCTGCAGGCAACTGGAACCATGGGTGCAGGCGTGACTATGCCATGTATGGCTTATTAACTTCGTTAGTAAAAAGACAGATGGGAAGAATTAGCTCCATCTGCATCAGCAATACAAGATGCCTGATGGTATAGTCAAACCCCTACTCCTGGTGGCTCAAGCCAGTGGTACTTTGGAGACTACACAAAGGGAGCACACAGAAGAACATTCTTAATAATTCCCTGCAGAGAACACAAGTTCCACCAACAGGAACACAGTCAAATACTAACCTGTCCACACAATGACACAGTACAAGTAATGAAAAAAGCCACTGCACAATGGGCTTGTGTAACACACAAAACCCATCTATGGGTCTCACAGCATCCATAACACAATACCATGCACAGGTGGCTCGGCTGCAATGTTTATTTTCAAAGCAGTAGGTTATACCAGCACCTTGACAAGTTAGGAAGCACACACTCCATGTCTGCCTATATGCAACGTCCATGAGGAGGAACACAGGAACTCACAACCCACCCCCCAGGAAGCTCCGCCCCTGCCCCAGCCGGCTTCCAGGTGCCACTCAGGGTCAGGACCCCGAGCTGGACACTGCAGCTCAGCCTCCCAAGCTGCCCACACAGACGACAGGCTTGTTCCAGATTAGTGCCACATCTGCTGTAGTACTCATGGATTTCTGAGCTACTTCAGCTTCCTAAGTTCCTAACCTTCTGCTGTTTTACTGTTACTAGCAATGCCTGTGTGTCACCCCCACCTAGCTCATGCGGTTTTTGTGTTCGATGATGTTTAAGAACACACACTGTGCTAAAGCAGTGCCCATTATCTCACACAGTAAACACACACACACACACACAAACTATCTGCTTCATGCCAACCTTTGGCACAGAGGTGATCGAAGTGAGTCACGAAGCAGCCCACAGGTGAACCTCTATGCTGAGGCATCAGGAAGCCCACCCAGCCGTGCCACCAACCTGCCAGGAAGCCTGCCCAAGCAGCTGCTCAGACGGGGAGAACTGGCCACGAGGCAAACACAGCTCTGCCATCCCATGACACACTGGTGCTCAAGGCACCATGCAAACGTGCTTGGCACTCAGCTGAAGTGCAGGCGCGGCACTCAGCTGAAGTGCAGGCGCCCCATTCAGACAGCCCCAGGGAACCACCATGGGAGAGGCGCCGGCGCCTCCTCGCTCGAGGCTCAGCAGCACCATCATGGCCTCACCTCATGATAGGTGTCCTCCAGCTCCCCGTCGTAGATCCAGCGGTAGAGGAAGCTCAGCACCGGGTGAGACACCAAGCTCAAAATGTGCTGCACCAGCGACCGCATGTATGGATCTCCCGTCTTCGTGTAGGCGTGGACGGCGGAGGCTAGCTCCCCTCCTTTCCTTCCTGGAGAACAAAGGAGGAGGCTAAGCACCCAAGTGGACCTCTCAGCACGAAGCATGCACCTCAAGTCAGGCATGGCCGAGGCATGGAGATGAAGTGCGTCCGCTTCCTGCCATGAATACCACCCTGGACCCAGCAGAAGCACCAGCAAATCTACCCTTTACATAAGCCAGACAGGCCTACTCCCTTAACCACAGCAAAGGGCCTTCCAGCTGCAAACACAGCAACAAGTGACCAGCTACACACTTAAGACCTCACGTAGCTTTTCACATCTTTTTTTTTTTTTTTTGTGAGACAGGCTCTCACTACACAATTCAGGCTGACTTTAACCTCACAGTGTATCCCGGCCTGGACTCCCACTAACAGTAATTCTCCTGCCTCAGCTTCCCAAGTACTAGGATAACAGACATATGCCACCACGCCCAGCCTTTTCACATCTTTTAGATGGAGCTTCTAACTTCATTCTGCTGTTTGGGACACACAGAAGCAGCACACGTTCTGTGAGTCCACCCTTACATGGTCCCAGGATACTGCACTGCCTCAGTGCACCACCATTTTCTCTACCCACTCTTGTTGCAGTGCAGTATAGGCCAAGAGAAGCTCCCGCCAGGGGGCAAAACATGGGCAAACAGCCAGAAGGCAGCTGGAAACACAGAAGCTCGAGCCGGGAGAGGGGCAAGTGAACATTCAAACAAGGAACTTCAACACAGAGACAGCAAGCATGGATATGCCCTGCCCAGAGGGAAGCAAAGATGCTGGGAGCCACCAGCTTGAGCAAGCAGAGAGGAGCACAGGCAATGGCACCGGGACCACGCACAGCAGGAGGCACACACAGTAACCCAAAGGACCTTGGCAGTGATCCACAAGGGCCGCGAGCGTCTTCAGTCTTATTTTGGGGTCATAGGTCCAAACCAGGAGGCGCCGCAGTGTCAGGCTACTCTCGAGTCCCAAGTTGACACCCTGATCATCCTCAAGCTGCAACTGAAAGACAGCATGGAAAGTTCACGTGTAAACTCAGGCCTGTGAGTTCTTCACACACAAAGTGACCACAAGCAAACAATGAAGCCAGAGGCTTCCTCTGAGAACATGACAGCGCTCTGAACACTCAAGTGGCCTTGGAACGGCCCACAGTCCAAAACAAGCAACCTGCTGGCTCTAGGACTCCATGAAGCTTCAGTTATCTGGCACTCATGAGTGCTATTACAACACGCTGCTTCAACGCAGAGTGACCACAGAGCTTCACGTTGGTAACTCTTCAAAGCACGAAGGACTAAAAACAAAAAGAAGACACTTACCTGAGAGTGTAAGACAGAGAGCAGCCGGTAGTACTCCTTGAGTTCCTGATGCAAGGCCGCACAGAAGCTCTGTGGGAGGAGTGGCAGGCAGGGAGGGTTCAGTTCCGCCTGTCTCGATGATCTGCCTAGACTGTACTTAACTGACAAAATTTAGAACTCGGCAACTCAGGATGCACCCAGGTTTGCTCTGGTTTGCACTGCTTGTCTTCGTGTGCACAGTATTAAAATTCCAGCAGTAATACTGACAAGAGCCACATCAAAGCCACACTGCTGGGGTGACAGGATCTCCATGGACCCACACAGGCCCACAAGCAGAACGGTGGTGAGCAGGGGCAGGAGGGCAGGACAGAGAACAGCGGTGAGCAGGGACAGGACAGAGAATGGTAGTGAGCAGGGGCAGGAGGGCAGGGAGGGAGGATGGCGGTGAGTAGGGGCAAGAGGGCAGGACAGAGAACGGCAGTGAGCAGGCATAGGAGTCTGGGGAGACAGTGCAGAGCAGTCGGCCAGGGAGGATGAAGTCCCAGGGCCAGGAGACACAGAAGCTCCATGTGCTGCTGTGCGGGCCTCAGCTGACAACAATGGACAGGACATTTCAATACAGCCACAGAAAGGGACTCCGAAAGCTTCACCATTAGAGAGGACAGTGGAGCAGACAGGCCTGTTTACCCTGATGGAGAACTGTGCAGTGTATTCCTGTATCGTACTTCACCTGGTTCCCCTTAAATATGTACTATTTCACAGATAAACTTAGTATACATTTAAAACATCTACGTAACGTTTAGCTTCTTGTATTTTGTTGTATTTTGCTGCTCATCTAGTAGCCTACCCAGGATCTTCTGGTGCAGCTGTGTGCATAACTGGATGACAGCAACAAAGACATGACTGGGACCCTTTGGGACATGGCCGAGACTCAGCAGTCACACTTGTGGCTGGGAGGGAGGAGGCCATGGGGCAGTACCTGGGCCACTGCTGCCTGTGCTGAGGACCCGCCCTGCGGGTCTCTGTCCTCACTCTGCCCCACACTGGAGGGGAATGGTGGATGGGCTGGGCTCACCCACAGCTAGCAGGGAGCATGCACCCTGTCATCTCCAAAGAAATGAGGGCAGATAGGACATAACCGTTCAGAATGAACTTCCGCTCTGGGTAAAGCCATGACCCCTGGGGTGTCTCCCTACAGAACCATGCTCTCAGCACTGCACAGCCACCTCCTGCCCCAGCCTCGCTGCTATATGAGACTCAAAATGCAGAGAGCCCCATTGGCAATGACCACTGCTAAAGAATCAAGGCACAGGGGAAATTGAAGCTGCCTCATCAGCAAGGGGAGCTGGGACTTTGGTAACACTGCAGTTTGCTGACTGCAGCTTCTCCCCAGGTGCCCATGACAAGTGGGAACGAAGCTACTGCACTGTGGGCAGCACGCCAGCCTCAGTCACCCAGCAGCAGCATGTCACCAACTCTAGCACTGTGGCATCCAGGGTCCACCTCAGGGTGCCCTGTGCCCTAGATGTGGCCACATCAAGCTGGCTCCCCTCCTTACCCTCGGGGTGGCCGCAGCAACAGCAGGGCAGGGCCCTCCCCGGAGCATCCCTGCTTCTCTAAATGCCTTCCTTGGCCAGGGCAGCCTCCCCAGCTGCTCACCCATCTGCTCACCATCTTTGCATGGACCCAAAAGCATCACTGGGACCAACGCAGTATTATAAAGGCCTCTCCAGACATCATATTCACAGGAGATTTTAAGCAGATTAAGCATCATTTCCAAAGCAAGTCATGATGAACACACCTGACCTACTAGTCCAAATGAACGGTCCATACTCCTCTGGTCAGTATACTTCCTGATCTTATTATGCAGCCATCCCAACTCAGCAAGTCTGACTGCCGTGTCCCGCAAAGACTTGTTGAGGTTTGCCTAAAAAGTAAGCACACCAAAAATGAGCAATCAACACTCGAATTTTCACTATTACTTCCCTGAACCACTTGTGCTTTTACTGCTATACTTAGCTTTCAACCCGAAAGTGAAAAGTAACTCATGTGCACTGGCAAGACAAGAAAACACCTTGAAGGAGCATCTCTTGCAGGGTCCTCACCTGGGACCCCTGGCTTCGTGGCTCAGACATCTGTGACCTCTGTCCCTCTGAGAAGGGCTGACAGCCACAGGGCAACACAACAGGGCTGCAGGAAGGCCACTCTGGGAGATGACACTGAAGCAAGCCAGACTCTGACCTGGAATTCTGTGCCAGGACCAAGCCCAAGCTAGGCTGCTGTCCCGGCCCCTGTGACATTAGTGTGTGGGGAGGAAGCAGCACTGACGCAGAGGCCATGGGGGTCCCAGCAAGTCCCAGGGCCAGCTCCCAAACCAACAGTTCGCCCTCTGGACAGCGTGGCGGCTGCCTTATTCTTGGACGTTGAAACCGGATTTTATGCTACTGTACCTTTCCTTCCACTCTGTAACAATTGTCAGTGCTGCTCATTTTGATGTTTTTGCCATCAATGCCTTGGAAGACGTACAAGATATCTCTCACAAGAGCTGCTTCAGTAATTTCCATGGTACCTATAAAATGGGTTTTAAAATAGCAATCATTGAATTATGCATCTTCAGATGAGTACACCCAACATTATTATCTCTGCATTACGTATTTGCCACCTGGACAACATCACATACTGCAACCGAGGACCCGATAAAAACAGGTAAGGCCAGGGCAGAGCGGCAGGGCCTGCACAGCGTCTCCTCTAAAGGCCTCTCAGATTCAGGGCCGCAGCCATACAGATCACCGGGGGCAGTCACTCTGCAGAAGTAGGTCTTTCACAGAAGGGTATGGCACAAGCTCCCAACACACTCCCTGGAAAAGGCACTCACAGCGCAGGGAAGACACTGTGGTCCCCACCACTCCTCAGCACACCCAGAGTATGAGAAGGCTCAGGCAAGGAGCAGGAGGAGACCCCGCAGTCCACAATGCCAGCGGACAGAGGAACCAGCACTCAGAGTCAGGTCAGCAAGTGGCTCACTGTCCTCTCACCGCCTGCTCCATCTGCACACCCCTCAGGTAGAGGGTGGCAGGCACGCCCAACTGTGACTATGGGCTGGCTCATCTCCTCTCCTTTCCAGTCTGTCCATGTATCCTGCTCTCTGCACATGGGATCCAGGACTAGGGTTACAGTATCTTCCTTAAGAATGTGCCTGTCCAGTAAATGGATGCACCTTGAGTCTTAAGTGAAATAAACTGGACACATTAGTGTACATACTGAATTATGTCTCTAATGTGAGAAGTTGAAAGTATAAATAAGGATCAAAATATATAAGAGGTATTGTGAAATAGGAAGAAAATGTTCAAATGGGAAGAACTAGGTAGGAGCAGCAAAGTAAAGGAAAAAGTTAAGAAAAATGAGAAATGGAACACATGGGAACAAAGCTTTTGTAAATGAGGAGGAAAGGGCTTGAAGGGAGGGAGGGGATTGGGAAAAGAAAACAGAAACAAGTTACAGAACGCACGGGCACAGATTCTCTATGATCAGTGTGACCACTATGTACATCTATGTCATGGTTTATGTTTGTGTCCCCCAGGCCTCATGAGTTTGCATTGTTCATTTGTGATGGTTCATTGTATAGTGCTTGGATTGATGGTGTCAGTGCTCCACCCACATAGGGGTGGAGCCAGCATGTGATGTAATGGCAGGAAGAAGGTGTGTCTTGCTCTTTGCTGGTGCCTGCTTACTGTTTGCGGCTGCCATGAACTGCGGCCCAGCCATGCACGCCTGCCTGGGAGCTGACTGTGTGTGGACTGAAACCTCCAAAAACTATAAGAAATAAACCTTTCCTTTCCCAACTTGGGCATCAGGTATTTTGTCTCAGCAACGAGCATAAAGTAACTAAGACAACCTAAAATGTACCAATAAAATCGGGGGGGGGGGGTTAGTTCCTATCCTCATTACATAGCCCTTCTGTCCTGGGTCCTGCTTCCTAAAGGCCACTCTGACAGTGACAACCACCCGTCTGCCTTACAGTTAGGGTATGTGAGATTTCCCAATCGCCTCTCTTCAACCTGTTTGTATCTCCATATTTAAGGTCTCTGGTAAGCAACACACAGTTCCTGGAATGGAACTGTTTTTAAAACACCTATCTTCTAAACCGTGTGTTCCCACGTGATGCACTTCCTAATGCATCTGGCCAGAAGCAGCTTCCTTGGTGTGTATTTCCTGCCACTCTGCTCCGCCGCAAATCTCTTTGCTGCTTCAGATCTGCTGTGTGCTCAGTGTTGCACGGAAACCAAGGAAGCCGCCTCCAGCCGGGTCCAGGCACTAGCCCAGCACCCAACACGGCTGCTGCACAAGGCTGGCAGGTGAGCAGCTCTCACACTGGGCAGTGTGTGACACTGGACACACTGCCACAGCCAATGGCAGCACCGTGCTCATGTGGTCCCCAAAGGTTCCCCACCCCTTGCGTTCCTGCAATGACAGGCAGCACCCACAGCAACCTCAGAGCCTGCAGCTCAAGATGAAGAGCAAAGCCTTTTCAGTCTTGAGGATGCACAAGGGTCTAGTGCTGCTCTGTGCATCACACGCCACTTCCTCTGGGAATCTAGCAGGACTGCAGGGCCAGTGTCTTCTTCACTATCCAGCACACTGTCCACGTACTCCTCCAACATTCCAGGCACCACCCTAGCTACCAGCAACATCACCTACACAGATGTGGCCTCTCATGGAAATCAGACTAGGGAATGAGCAGCCAGAGGCTTCCCAGAAGGACAGCAGACCAGGAAAGCAAAGGGACCAAGAGGTGTGGCTAGGAAACAGCAATGCAAGGATAGCAGGTCACCCAGGAGCCAGCCAAGAAGCAGGGGCACCAGGACTGGACAACAGGAGACAGGCGGCGATGGCCTGCAGAACCAGGCCACAACAGGGCCAAGACACAAACAGCAGGAAACCCAAACACAGAGGTCTGGCTCAGTGCCTGAAAGGAGTGAAACCAACACTGGAAGGCATCTTACCACTCGAATCCCCGTCTCTCCTCGACCTCGTTGTGTTTCGGGACACAGCACCTGGGATACCCTTAGGGCCAGGGGTTTGAGAAGGCTGAGTGGCAGTCAGAGTCCAGGCGAGGCGGGACCCCAGCTGTGGTCGAAGGCAGTCTCCAACAGCTGGGCCTTGATGAGACTGTCTGGACAGAGGAAGCAACATGTGCCTGTCTTACACAGTCTCCCTGATCACCCTTCCTTTCTACAGCTTCATCTTGCTGCCCTGAATTACACTAACTCAAGAGAGGCGACACCTGGCTTTACCCAGGGAGCACAACCCTAAGAGTCAGGCAGGTTCCCGGGCTGTGCAGGCTGTTCTTGGGGCTGCACTGCAGAGCAGGGGACGCCTTGCTCCACCTCCTGGATGTGTTCCTTCGCTGTTGGCTTTCTACAACACTGGACTCACAGTGCCCACACCAGCACTGGGAAATTCTCAGTGAAACATGACTTCCACATTCCCCGGGCAGGGGCTTAAGCATCTAGAGCCACACCATCACCACCTCTGCCAGATACTCCTTAAAAGCAGGAGCTGCGGGCTGGGGATTTAGCTCAGTGGCATAAGCGCCTGCCTTGCAAGCAGGCAGTCGTGAGTTCGATCCCTGGTACCGATAAAAAGGAAAAAGACAAAAAAAAATAGAAAAAAAAAAAAAAAAAAAAAGCAGGAGCTGCTCTTCACAGAACACTGAGCCTCACTCCCTATTCCTGCCTGGCACTCACGTCCCAAACTCCAAGCCCGACAGCCTTGCAGTAACCCAGGCCCCTGCGCTCTCCTGGGGAACACCGGGTATTCATGCCGAGTCCCTGCACTGTCACAGGGTCACCTGTTCCACTGTGATTCTCAGAAATGAACAGTGGCAATGCACAAGGCCACCTTCTCACCTCTGCACAGAATGTGTACTTAGAAACAAGCTCCTGAAGGTCCATTGAGACCCTGGGCCCTGCTTTTCTCTCAATCATGAGCTCTGTCTGCCCAAAAGGTAATCAGACTGGACAGCAGGCTAAACTGCAAAGACTGTCACGGCTTAGCCCTGCAGTCCTGGTTCCCAACATCTACTCTTCCACACAGAACATACCAGAACCATCAGCCTGAGGATAACCCAAGCTGTACTACTCAAACAGCCCAGTGTGAGCCACCCGACTAAAGCCTGCAGACCCTGCCAGCATGCTGGGGCACACGCGAGCCTCGGCTGGCCCTAAGTCCCACTGCCCATCCCACAGCCTGGCCGTGTCAGGTTGCATTACCCTGGGAGCAGAGGCTGCGGACCAGGCCCAGGGCCACCAACAGTGCCCGCACTGATACTGCTGATGCCGCTGCTGCCCAGGCTGCCCAGGCTGGGCACCGCCTGGGTGCTCCGGTCCTGGTAGTTGAGTGGGAGTGTCTGTGGCCGAGCGTAGTAGTAAGGGGTAGAATGGGCATCTCTGGGTAAGGCCTGTGCAAACAGGGATGCATAGCTGGACACCTGAAATGAAAGTGGCAGAGATCAGGGACAGGACGTCACACTGCAGCCCCCACCTCAGAGGACAGCTCCTCTGGACCTGGCGGTGGACGCACAACCACCCAGCAAGCAGTGCACTGGCTAAGGTGTTTCTGAAGTCCACCAGCACTGACGATTTGGTTTTCTTCAACAACTATTTCAACGGCTGATAACTAAGCACTTTATTTATTTCTGAACCCACATAAACTGGAACTCAGTAAGTTTTAAAAGTCTGATTTTTCTGATGCTGACCATGCTTTCTAGAGTAAGATGGACTTTCAAGGTTGTTTGACTTGCATATTTCTCTGACGGCCAGAGACACTAGGCATTCGTGTACTTACTGGTTATCTGACCGTCTGAGATGTGTCCATTCATTTTGGTTGCCCATTTTTTCATTGGGTCTTTTATTTTTAGTTCGATCTTTTTTTTTAGTCCTTTATAAATTGTAGCTATTAATCCTGTCATAGGAGTAGCTAGCCAAATTTTTTTCCCATTTTGTAGGTTGTCTCTTCACTCTATTCTTTCCTTAGCTGTGTAGAAGCTTTAGAAAAATAAAGAACATGGGAAATGGAGATGGATCTTTAGCAAATGGGAAGGCACTCTGGAGATGGAAAGGAGAATAAAATTAATTTTAAGATATGTCAAGTACAACACCTACTCCCTAAAATGAATGCAAACATTATGTGCTGCTAATATACCAGTACATTTTAATTTTAAAAATAATAAAAAATAAAGGTCTGGTATTATTCTCAGCGAAGAGAGTGTAGCACCCAGGCTTCAGAGAGACACCTAACCCTGGCCCACAGCACTCAGCTGCCCAGCCCAAAGGTCTGCAGTGGGGAGCTTCCAGCACCGTCTATGACCAGAGCATTCTCCAACACATCGAGGGCCAGAGCGGGAGCGGGGGCGGGAGCGGAGTGAGGGCCGCTCACTTGACCCTGACGAGGGTGCAACAGCTCGCCCGGCTGTTCCTGCCTGTGAAAGGTGGGTCACCCATGCTGGCCTCATGCAAAGCACAGGTTTAAAACCCGCCAAGTAGTCAGGCTCATTTACCTGACTCTGAAGCACAGCTTAGGGAAGCTGCACACTAAAGAAGCCCTTAAAAAGAAGGCAGTTGCTTGGCCTCGCAGCCAGACTCACTCTTGCTCTTCTCTGCTTTTCCCAGCTGCAGAAGCAGGCCCCCACACTCCGGCATCACCACCCACCTTGTTGGCTTGCTTACGAGGGTCCTCGCTGAGGTTCAGCAGCAAGTAGAGTATGGACCACTTATTTTTCAAAACTCCCTGTTTAGAAAAAATGTTTTTAATTAATTTATAATACTCTTCACTTTATCCTCTCTCCTATATTATTTTGAAAATAGAAATGCATTTTAAAATTCGCCTAGTAAATTCAATCCTGTGCTCAGGTCACGCAGCATTGAACCCCCCACGCACCGCAGTGTGGAGAGAGTGCTCTGTACCAAACTCCCTGAGGCCCTCTCCGAAGTCCTAACAGGAACAAACCTCATCTATCACCCCTTTTGTGAACAGCACTATCGTCACCCTGAAAAATTCTTCAAAATCCCCACAGTGATCCTAAGACAAGTAGCATTATAAAGCCTGAGTTATCCCTTCTTTTTTAATGTCCTGTTTGGACCCCAGAACAGGAGTTGGAACAAGGAGTAGGAATCTACAGTGCAGGAGCCACCTTGGTGGGCTGGGGCTCCCAACCCAATTCTCATGCCCTGTGCCGCCAGGTGTGCAGACTATGGGCACGAGCTAGAGTCACCAGCCAGACTCCACTCTCTGCCATTGAGCATGCACCATGACACCCTGACTCACACAGCTCACAGCAGCCACACCTCTGCCACGTGGCCAGGGCCCTTCCCACCTGAGCCACGGCCTTGCTCTGGGTGTGAACACGCACATGCTCAGCCATTACATAAATACTCCCTGAAAAATGTCCTGAGACAGTAAGCTCGCCCAGGTATCTAACCACGGTCTAACTTGAGAAACTGATTTTCGGACATTTCCTGAAACTCCACTCTTTCCAAGCAGGGACAGGATGGGAAAGCATCGCATCCTAGGGAGTCACAGTACAGTGGCAGAGATGAGCAAACAGATCAATATGACAAGGGGTACCTCTCTCACAGAGGGACTCTCGGAGGAGGCTCAGTCAAGTCCCTCAGAAAGGTCGGCCCTGCAAGAGGGACAGAAACCACAGACAGACCAATCCGCCACAGCCAGGAGTCAGACAGGACACTGACCAGCAATGATGGGGCCCCTGGGGCTATGGCAAGACGTCTGGGTTGCACACAATCACAGGAAGCCTCTGAAAGACCTTTGCAAGCACCAACCACAGCTTTGACACAGGAGGGGCTGCAGGGCACTTGGGAGATGGTCACCTAAGGAGAAACAGACAGCTTCACAGCCTGGAATCCCTGCATGCAGGAACCAAGATGCTGGAGCTCAGTGACTGGCCTTGGTCTAAGCCCAGTGGCAGTCACTCAGAGGCAGGGCTCGTGGAGACCAAGCACAGCTCACCCTGCACCACCACAGGCCACCACAGGATCCTCTTCATCCCATAGCTGACAGCGTGTAAACCTGAATCATGCACCAGCATTCTAACGTTGCAGGCCAGGGTGTAGACCAAGATCCACCCAGAGCCAAAAGGATAAAGACAGCCACGTCCAAAGAGCAGGCTCCGGACCTGCAGTCAGGGTAGCAGCAGGCAGGGGCAGTATCATGCACAGAGAGAACAAAATGGCACCGAGATGCAAAAGAAGGAAATACATGCTGCTTTTGGCTGTGAAGACACCAAGCCATGAGTCCCAGGGGCGACACCAAGAATGTCCTGGTGTCCTGGTGTCCAGCAACACCGGGAAAACAGCAGAATAAGATCCACCCATGCAATAATTCCTGGATTCAAACTCCAGGATCACCTCAAAAAGTGTACAGGGAATGAAGAGAGGTGACAGGTCTCAAAAGGAACCGAAGTGTGTCAGGGCCACTCTACCAAAAATCCTTCAAGGCAGATGTCAGTGTGAACCCAAATGTGTCCTGGAGCTGGGAGCAAAGGGCAGTGGCCGGGAGCACCACGCCCACAGCCACCCCCTGGTGCAGGAGTAGAGAGCAGATGGGCTTCTCGGAGTCCAGGGAGGTTGTGACCAGGCTGCCTGAGAGGTCAGGGGCATCACCAAGGCGCTGGGCCTCATGATACTGTCTGCCCTACCCTGCACCTCCAGCAGGGGCATCAGCCCTTCCCATGAAGCCCTCAGCAGGCAGGGAGCAAGAGACAGAGCACAGAGAATCACCCTAACAGCATCCATTCTTCAAACCCCTCAGGCTTCTGCACCTCGGCTTTTTAGCACAAGAGTCCCGCTTCTTGCACAAGGCTTTATAAACCTGCATACCGTATGCTAAGTGACTCACCTGGCAGGATACCCTGAGGCCCAGAAATGTCAAAGCAAATGCTTCCACAGAGCTACTCGACAGCATCAGCACAGCCACCGCAGCACCCCATAAGGCCGCACCTGACACCTGGCCCCTGCCAACGTCCCACCACAGTCCCGCACACTCACTGTCCCCCATTGCCCTTCCCTGCCTCACCAGGCCCATGATATGGGGGCTCCCACTCCTGCCACCTTTCCGTGCTCAGCCCTGCACACAGCATGTGGACGCCCTTTCTCTCAGGCGAACTTCACCTCTGAGCTCCACTCCCCAGCGGCTAGCAGGGCAGGCTTGGTGCACGCACGTGAGCACACACGCACACACAGCGCAGCTTACCTGAGGAAAAGGACAGCATCACGGGCCCCCTGCACTCTGCCAGGCTGGGGTCTTCACCACACGGCACAACCTCTTGTGTGTGTCACACTAATTACCACAGCTACACAGCTATCTCCTAATGTCCTTTACCAACTGTTGGCTACATAATGACAACATCAACCAGGCTGGTTAGGGCTGGTCCTGGGATGCTGGCCACCATTTAAGACATAACTGTTTGGGCATAAACAAACACTCAGGGCTCCAAACAAACTTATTGAGAATGACCGTTTTAAATCCCAGAGCACCTATGCACTTCCATCAACAGGCGCACACACCCATGGACGCAGAAGGAAGTGCAGAGCCAGTCTTGGAGGGATCCTGGCGAGGCTGTCGCGGAAATCTGGTGTCTGACAAGCACATCTCTGTCACATCCACAGCAAAGAAGTTATTTTCACAGGCAGAAAAAGATGTGAGGAAAGCAAATAGCTCAGTTTCAAACAACTGCCTGGAAATGAGTGGACCAAAAAAAGCAATTTCTTTGTAAATATTATCAAAAATGGAAAGCACACTTAAAACAACAAATCCAACCACACTGAACTAAGGAATCAGAACAACACATACACATATGCTGTCCGAGGGCAGCACATGCAGAGGGAGTCAAAAGTTCACAACACAGGCTTCGGTCACTGAGCACCGCACCCGCCACAGAAGTCCTCACCCTGTAACACTGACTCCAGCTTTAAACCTCTTCAGCTTCACTCGCCTCTCCACAAAGAACAAGAGAGCTAGATTAGCAGTGCACAGCAGCTGCCAGCAATCACAAAAAGCCCACTCTCAGACTCATTTAACTTATTGACAGCCAGAATTTGTAAAACGTCAGACCCAACCCCCACTGCTACACTTCCCCAGCAAGGTGATGAACTCCACAGGCAGGGTGACATGAACCCAGCTGAGACCTCAACTTCTAACAAGGAAACACTTTAAATAAAACAACACTCCTGCAACCAAAAGCTTTCTGCAGTGACACGTTGCCATCCCGACTGCTGCACAGCCCTCCCAGGGCGCACACCCAAACACACACACACCCACCCTGCCCCAGACTGACCCCTGGACTGCAGCACCTACCTGCGAGTGCAGCTTCCGGTGGAGCTCAGAGAACAGTGCAGCATCCGCCTCCCTCCTCTGCCGGATAACTACAAAGTCAAGAGAGAAACTCAGCTCTTAGTCATGCAGGGAATTGTCATGCCATTGTTTCCCCACAGTAAAAGGCAGCTCAGGACAGCTGAAAAAGACCTGAGCTTAGGACTCCAAACCTCAGCCAGGGCTCACTTTTAGCGCTGTGAGTCTGGTCATCCATCCAACCTCTGACATTTGTAAAATACGGACTGTGTTGTGCTGGGATCAAAACATTAAAGTGATAATTAAGTAACAGAAACAATGGAATCACTATAATCTACCTAAAGCCACTCATCAGCAGTGAGCCTACTATCATCAAGGTAACCAGTTAATAACAGCTAGCAGGAGAGGAATGGAAAAAAAAAATCATCATTGGAATCCTAATTCAAAGAGCAACAACTGAAAAGTACAACGCTCAGGACAGTATTCCTGTTAGGGTACGACACAACAATACTCCACCTTATTTTAGCAAAGAATTATCAATTACCATTTCAAAATACAAGTTAAAATAGCTGTGGAACAAAGTTTGACTATACCGATGTCTTTGCACTCTGACTACTATATTTGAACAAAGCAATGGCAAACACAAGCTTGCTGAGGTTTGGTTCCATGACAAAGGATGAGCCACTAAAAAGCCAGGAGCCAGGACCACTCCACTTGCCACTTCTGCAGGTGTCTCCTGGGAAACTGTCAGGCATTCCACGACAGTGCAGCTCTTGGAGCCACCTGACAAGGTCATACTCTCCAAGTGCACCTGCTCAGGATGGGCCTTCGTGAAAATCCCATCATCCTCCACACTTAGCTTTACCCCTCTCCAAGACTAGGAATTGCACCCAGGGCCTGCACATGCTAAGCAACATCACTACCCAAGCCATAGCCCCAGGGTTCCCCAAGCCCTTTCTTTCATTTTCAGACAAGTTCCCCAAGTTGCCAAGACTGGCCTGGTCCCACTGCCTCAGTCTTTCAAGTAGCTGGGATTACAGGCATGTGCCACCATTCTGGACTGCTGGCACTAATTCTACCATGGCCAGATGAGGCTGCTGAAACCAACACAGCTCCTGAAGTTAGTGCTACTAGAGAAAAGCTAGCACTGTGAGAAGCACAAACCTAGCTGGTCTATGCAACAGCCAGCTCTCCACCTCACCTGGTCACACAGCTCTGAAACACGACACCCTCGCAGACTCCTGGCCCAGAGCAGTCACAACAACTAGCTGTGGGACACTGTGCCCTGGCAAGCCCCCAGAGGTATACTGACAGCTTGCCAGACACTGGGATACAACACAGCCTTCACGTGTATGGGTTCACAGGAGAGCAGTACTCTCTCCGTGCAGCTGAGAGCCCCAACAGGAGCACCCTCCACACAGCCCAGGAACAGGCAGCAGTGCAGGCCAGGCACCTGTACAAGCCGCCTCCTGCCAGGGCCAGGGCCATGGCCAGCGCCAACACCAGTGTCACTTTCCTAAGGGCTAGCAGCTGCTTAGAGCCACACTTCCCAGGTTCCAGAGTAGAGGGGACGGTGCCCACCCCACCATCAGTGACCATTCACACAGCCTCTTCCTCTGTGCACACACTGGGGAAGCCCAGGAACCTGCAGAAGTAAAGCTGGCATGGCCCATGGTGTAGAAGCCTGGGTGGAGACTGTGAAGGCCAAAATGATTCAGTCTTCAAGAGCTGTGTCCTGCAAGACAGTGTACTGCACTGTCTGCTCAAATGAGGTGATAGTAACACCATAAAGCACAGCACAGAAGTGGAAGCTATGTAACCCTTTCTTCTCCCACACCTGAAGCCATGAGGTACTGCTATAACTGTACTCTGATACAGTCTTAATCTCAACTCTAAGAACTGAGTGGTCCCTAGTTTTAATAGTGCCTATGATTAAAATATGCCTGGGAGCTACACATGTACATACATACATGTGAACATACACATATATGTATTCTTAAGTTTTGACAAGTTTCCTAACCCAACAAGTAATACTTAAGAAAAATACATACGTTCTTTCTTGATTTTTTCAGCTACTAGGAACTCATCTCTTTCAACAGTAGGGGCAAAGTTGCTGCCAATAACTCGCACAGCAAACTGGAACTGCTGGGCCACATCAGCTGAAAGGTAAGCAAAAGAATGCACATTAGAAATAACCAGGTCCAAGAGAACAAACTGGACGTGAAGTCAACCTACCACCTCCCCAAGTCTTAAATGAACCACAAAAGCTACTGAGAAACCATAATATGAATGAGTGAAGATGTAAAATCAGAGTTCTACAAAACACAGGAGAGAGACGGCAACAGGCCAGATGGTCAAAAAAACCCTGGAAGACAGAAAACAAACTGGATGATAATCACAAAAACAATGGAAACGGCACAGTGCCACACAGAACAAGGGAAGAAGGTCCAGTCAAGAAAGCCTCCCAACAGCCAACGCATCTGGAGCCAAAAGAGCAAAACAGGAAGCAGCGCAAGCCCGGGTCCCTGGTTCCATCACAAAGCAGCAATGACAAGGATGGCAGGGCTCCGGCGCCAGGCAGAGGCGCAGACCAATGGGACGGAGCAGAAGACACATTTGGCCGCAAGTGCCTGCAGCCCTTTGAGCCTCTTTAACAAATCCTGCTGAGACACTAGTCACCACGAACGCCGGCACTCCTCACCCTGCACTAAAATCAAATGGGAATGTATCAAAGACCTAAATATAAACACAGGGACACAGAATCCACTGAGACAAAACAGGCAAAACACTTGAAGACAGACCCAGCTCAGGACCACTGAACAGAACCCCCAACTTCACAAGCAATAATTCCAAGAATCAAAAAACGGAGTTATAACAAACTTAAAACCTTCTGCACAGCAAAGGAAAAAATCCACACGGTGAAAAGATAGCCTACAAAATGGGAAAACAATCTTGGTGGCTATTCCTCTGAAAGAGGACTAATACCTAGAACTCAAAAAATCAAACTCCAAAAAACAGAAGAGCCAATCAAAAATGGGCAATTTAAAAAAATGCCCTTTTCAAAAGCAGAAATACAAATGTTCAGTAAGTACTTGGCCATTTGGGAAATTCCATCTCACTCCATTGAGAGCAGCCAGGACTCAAAGGCAACAAATGCTTGCAAAAAGTGGGGAAAGGAACCTGTACAATGAGCGTGGGAGTATAAACTAGCATTCCTTGAAACACTCAAAATAAAACTGCACTTGATCCAACTCTGTATGCTTTGCTGGGCACCTTCCCTAAAGAGCTGAGGTCCGCATGTTACTCATATTTACCGCAGTGCTGTAACAGAAAGCACCCTGCCATGCCAGAAGACTTCAGGTTCTTGGTTGCCCGATGATAGTTCCTGCTCCAGTTCGGGTTGCTCCTGTCTCTTAGAAATGGCTGGAAGCTGTGATGCACAGCTGGTCACTACGATGCACACTGTATAAGCCAAACCCCAGTGGACAAGTCATTCTGCCTCTCCAATTCCTGCTTGCTTATCCCATATGGCCCTAGACCACCAGAGACTGGGCCTGAGATTTTGGGAGTGATCCCAATCAGTATGCTTTGACATCAAATAAATCTGCCTCCAAATCCTGAGTGCTACTTCTGTGTTTCTGTTTGCCATTGCACACAACTCACAATAGCCAAACTACAGAAAAGACCCAGACGCCCTCTACAGGTGAACAGATAAAATGTGGTACATGTGTACAACAGAGTACTACTCGCCATAAAGAAGGGTAAATTTCAGTCATTCATAGCAGAATGGATGGATCTTGAGACTACAGTGTTAAATGACACAAATCAGACATAGGAAGTTACATATCACATGGGTTCTCTTATGTGAGAAAGCCAAAATACAAATAAAGAGCAAAATAAAGAGCAATGAAAGGCAACAAGTAGGCAGACTTTTCAGAGACACAGAAAAGAGAGTGAGGCAAAGGGGGACCAAAAGGATTAAAAGATACAATGTACCTAAGCACCAATTCCGGACAGGAATGTGATTGTTTCATATCACAAAAGTATACTACTTTCTTTAAAAAGTAGGGGGGAAATGCCTGAAAAGAGAAAAAAGCCTCTGAACAGCTGGAGGCCAAAGATTACATACAGCAGGGTGAGAACAGCCACAGAAGGTCCATGTGAACCACACGCACCATGGACAGACGTGGTGTTTACCTGCACTCCCTGTGACATACCAAACTGAGACTAAGGTGGTCCTTAAAACAAGGTGTAAACCTGCAGGGGCAAGGAACAAGAAAGCCGGGCAAGGGGCTGGGGATTTAGCTCAGCGGCATAAGCACCTGCCTTGCAAGCAGGCGGTCGTGAGTTCGATCCCCGGTACCGATAAAAATGAAAATGAAAAAGACAAAAAAAAAAAAAAAAAAGAAAGAAAGCCGGGCAGAGAAGGGAAAGCCCCAGCGGCGGGCCAAGCTGACTTTCCACCTCAGGACTGAGGGGCACGGGGCCAGGGTGGCCAGGACCCTGCTGGTCAGAGCATTCCTGCCTCTGCTTCTCAGCCACTATGTTTGCATCTCTGTCTCCCACACCCCAGCTGCAGCTGTGCAACCAGCCAGACCCAAACTGCAGGCAACAAAGCCAAACACAGCCCCACGTGGGGACCCCTCAGCCAGCACAGGACCCCTCAGCAGGGGAACAGCGAAGCCACACCTCGCACTGCACTCATCTCCACCACCCCTGCAGCACACTGTCCTCCCCTGGCACACACACCAGTGACAACACACAGTCCCGCAGTGCACACAACACCAGCAGGCATCCAGCCAGCACATCAGAGGCACGCAGCGGCTACACAGTGAGCCACAGCGAAAGAAGGGCTGCAGAGGAGCACGCTGCAGACCCTTGAGGTACCTCTGTGAGCATGAGCACAGAGTCCCACACACACTGTCAGGACCACAGGGCCGGCTGCACTCCAGCAGACAAGCAGACCAGGCTCGGTGGTCAGCAGAGCATAGCAGGGCCCAGTGAATGCAGGTCAGCTCTCCAGGGGACAACCTCCCCAGCTGTATGCTTACAGCAGCGCCACCAGACACACGGACAGCACCAACACTGGTGCAACGCAGGAGACACCCACCTTCCCCAGGATGCAGGGCAGCCCAAGGCCAGCAGTCAACTGCCCTAGCTGACCTGTACGGCAGCTTCTAAGCCACAGGTGTGCTCCAAAACGCAGGGGTGGGGGGCTCACAAACCAGCTCCTTCCATACACAATAACTCCACTATTCAAAACATGCTATCTAACACTGACAATTAAACTAGAAATCAGTAAGAGCGATCCTGAAGGATCTCCCACTATTTGGAGCAAAACTCACACACAACATGTAGGCCAAAGGGAAAAGTCTCAAGGGAAACTTTTAAAGTGACTGAAAATACATCATAGATGTAGGATAACTAACAGCACTTAGAGGGAAACTTACAGCATAAATGCTTTTACTCTAAAGGAAAAACGGGCTTTACGTCAGTAAAATCAACAAAAACACTAAAAGTATGCATTACGAAGAACAAAAAACAATGAAATTAATGACACAGGGAAGAAAAACCAAGAAATCAAAAGCTGGGCTCTTTGAAAACGGGAAAGGGCTGATAAGCCTCAAGCAGATGGACTAGAAAGAAAGGAGAAGCTGGGAAGGAGGTGAGGGCAGCGGCCAGAGCAGAACCCAGCCTGGGCAGCAGCAGGGGCCGTGCCCGGCGACTCTCTTCGGAGAGCACAGTGCAGGACCGTCACGGGTTGCACAGCATAGGTGTGCAGAGAATGCCCTTTCTAGTCACGAGAAAAACACAAACCTGCATTGAAACATTTAAAAATAACCCGTCATCTTCACAAGTGCTGCAGGAGGGGGCTGGGAACCCAGAGTCCAGAGCCAGCCCAGGAGGCCTGAGCACTCTGTGCACTGCTGGACAACAGAGCATACGGGCATCAGGTAGTGAGCAAAGGGTGAGGAGGCACTGGGCACAGAAAACGTCAGTGACCACTGGGGACTCACAGTTTAACACCACTCCCAGTACGGAAGACACTGGCTGACAGACAGCAAACGAGGCGGGCAGGCTGTGAGAAGGGCGTGCATGCAACTGCTTGTACATTTTAAATCACATAAAATAAAGCAGTTTTTAAAATTATAGACCGATGCCAGGACCACCCCTACAATTTTATTTATTTTTTTTTTCTTTTTTTGAGACAGTCTTGCTATATAGTTCAAGCTGGCTTTTTTTTTTTTTCGTTTTTATCGGTACCAGGGATCAAACTCACGACTGCCTGCTTTCAAGGCAGGTGCTTATGCCGCTGAGCTAAATCCCTAGCCCCTCAGGCTGGCTTTGAACACATTAAGTAGCCCAAGCTGGCTACTTAATGGCTGGCCTTAAACTGATGGTAACCCTCCTGCCTCAGCCTCAAGCGATGGGATCACAGGTGTGCACCACCACATGCTTCACCAACCTTACCATTCCACACCCTCAGTCTTTTTTTGTGAGGTGCTGAGAATTGAACCCAGGGCCTTCACACTAAGCTACATTCTCTGCCCTTCTTACTTATTTATTTTTACTCTGAAACAGTCTAAATTGCACAGGCAATCTTCCTGCCTCAACCTCCCAAGCAGCTGGGATTACAGGTGTGTGCCACCCTGCTTGGGCCATCAATGTAAAGTTCTGTTTCAATATCTTTAATCTTCAGAATAAGAACAGAGCAATTTAAACATGAAAAAGAAAAGGCTTCTTGGGTAAACTCAAATCTCAACTTATAACACACGTCATGCATGAAAATTAACTCAGATGGACCACACAGGAGGGTATGGATGAGCCCCCTTCAGAAAACAAAAACAACCAAAGGAGACACCTTTGTGGCCTTTAATTTGGAAGAGTTTTTAACGTGAAACCAAAATCATGACCAATTTTTTAAAATAAACTGGACTTCAATAAGATTAAAAACTTTCACCCTGCAAAGAACGCTGTTATGGGAATGAACATACTGAGGAAAAATTTGCAAAATACATATCCAAAAAAACCAGGCAAATGCCTGTAACCCCAGCACTTAGGAAGGCTGAGGCAGGACCACTACCAGGAGTTCAAAAGGCCCGCCTGAGCGACAGTGAGATCCTGTTTCAAAACACATGACAAAGGGTTTGCATGCAGACACATAAAGAACACTCAAAACTCGGTAAGGGAAAGGAAAACGCAGTCCATTAAAAAGATAAGCAAGCTAGGCAGGGTAGCACACGTCTGTCAGGCCAGCATCTGGAAGGCTGAGGCAGGAGGGTCACATATTTAGGGCAATCCTAGGCTCCACAGCAAAAGCCTGTCTCAGGAAAAAAAAAAATGCTATAAGCAAACACATCATCAGAAAGATACTTAAATGGCAAAAAAAAAAAAAAAAAAAGTCATTAAAAGATGCTCAAGCACCATCAGGGAAATATAAACTAAAACCCACTGATGATGGGGGTCAGGAATGTAGCTCAGCGGCACTGCATCTGCCTGGCAAGCACAAAGTCCGAGTTTGACGCCTTATACCAAAAATAAAATAAAACAAAATCTGCTAACAAACTATCACTACATACCTGTCACCATGGGTAAAACTCACAACACTGACCAGGCCAGTGCAGAGAGAAAGAAGCACTGAAGCCAACACGTCCTGACCCAGGCTGAGAACACAGATATGGGCAGTGTCCTGTGCATTTCAGTTTCAGACACAGGGTCATGGCTTCTATCCATGCCACCCCTCCAAAGCTTCCCACACTCAGAGGTGGGGTTTCGGGAGCTGCTGGATCAAGAGTGTGTGATGCTGTAATGAAGTGTGTTCCATAACAGACTCAGTCCTCTGACTGCCTTAGCATAGTTCTGTGTGGGGCTGAATGGGCTGACTGAAAACAGAAGCCCCACTCTGGGTGTGGGTAGCACCAACCAACAGGCTTATGGCCTAGATGGAAGGCAAACGGAGACAGAGAAAAGGAGGCTCACTGCCACTGCCACTGCCTGCCCTGCCATGGACTGTTCTCCACTGCCACCCTTCTGCATGCCACCCGCCTTGGAGCCAGCCAACTACAGACTTAATCCTCTACAAACTGCAAGCTGATACACACCCTTCCTCCTTTACTTGTGGGTGCCTTACACAAGAAAGTAACAAAGACAACAAGGTCCCCAACCTGCAGGATCAGAATCCCTGAAGATGGAGGTGCAAAGCTCACTGAACGAGAATCCTCTTCAGGGAGCTCAACATGAAAAGGTGTAACACTGAATTTGATACAGAGTTGTCTGCCCAGCCACCAGCTCCCCTCCCAAACATGATACTGTCACTAGGTTCTCATAGTGGGTCACAGGTGCTTCCAAGGCACAGGGAGCTGAAACTCAACACTGCCAAACAAAACATAAACATTTGGATCCCAGAGCCTGTTTACAGTCTCCAGCTGATCCAGAGTGTCTACATAGGTAACACCTAGCCAGCCACATACTAGCAATTTAAACCATGACACCTCCTACGTACTAACTTCCTTTATAATTTTATCATTAAAAATTCACATTTCCTTTACATCACCTCTAGTTTATACCTAACAAAACCTACATGTTCTGGGAAGCTGTTAGACTGCATTGTTCACAGAATGACAAGAACAGTCTGTTCCTGGTCAGCACAAACATCAAGAGCTTGTGCAAGCAACAGCAGCCACGGAGACCCTCCATGACACCTCTCCTACCTGTGTCCTGTGGCTGGATGCAGGCGCCCAGCAGTTTCATCATCAGGGCAGCCACCTAATTTCCATGTCGTATGGCAGGCACACTTATCTGAGCATGTAAGCTGAAGCACTTACCTAGCACGAACTCCCCCTTTCTTCCTTCTTGATCTCATAGCCAGAAAGATGACAGTGCTTTGCGAAGTGCTGCTTCTGACAGAGCTGAAACACTCTTAACATCAGCACACAGACAGGAACAACAATCTAAAGACATCAGTGGAAAGCACTCTATAGAGCAGCAAGGCAGGGAAGACAGGCTGCTCTTATCACTAGCAATGCATGCCAGCGATTACACCTCATGTCGGAATAGGTGGTTGGAAAAGGTGGATTCTGAATGCTCCTAAAGTGCTAAAGGCTTGGCCTCAGGAGGAAAATAGGGCTGGAACCTCTGAGCACAGCAGCCTAGGGGGAGCCCCCAGGTCACAGAGCACACAGGTTTCAAGAGACAGGTGACTGCCACTTCTGCTACCTGGCGCAAGGGGAGTTTGCTCCCCCATGCACTTCTACCAACACATGCTGCCTCATCACTGGCCTGCAGGGCCACCAGATCACAGGTTTGAGCCAAACCTGTAAGCCAAAATAAAGTTTCCTCTGCAAGCTGATTGTCTCGGGTAGTTGTTATGGTGACATAAGGCTAACACAGGCAGAAAGTGATGGTTATACGAACTTCATAGTCATGAAGCATATTTTACCCAGGCCCTCTGCTTATGAAGGCTCCTTGAAGCTAAATGTGTAACTGTTTTTGAAAGACAGATATCTTGCAAAATTTTGATTCACATTCAAAGTAACAAGTTTGTATTCTTTGATTTCACCATATTAAAAAAGGAAAGTATTACAAAAGCATAAAGCCAGTTGTCTGTAACATGTCATTAGAAAATGGTAATAAAACAGTCTATGAAATTAACAAACAAAACACCCCACTAATAAAACTTTACAGTCAAATATTATAAAAGGAGTAATTAATATTGCTGCTTTGCTCACTAATGTAGAATAAGAGACAAATCAAGGTAAGCACTAAGTAACAGAGATTTTTCAGTAAATAATATAATTTAAAAGCATGTCTGGCAATCCTAGCTACCCAGCTAGCTGTTTATTCAAAACAGATCCTCTTGGGTCTCAGTGAGAGGTTAATGACTGGTAACACAGACACAATTCTAAATGATGCCATAGGAGGATACAGAATTTTGTTGAAAAGCATTTTCATTTCCCAGAAAGGGTGAAATTTCTGTCAACTGAAAAAATCATCGATATAAAAAATCCTTTAAAGTTTAAACTCATATTCTAGCTCACGATAAAGAATATAAAAATCCAGTGGGAATGAATGAATGTTGTGTTCTGTCCCTAGAGGAAAAAGGAAATTTGGAATCACTGGTATCAGGGGAAAAATTATGTTAAACTAAGTAAGCTAGCCATCTTGTTATCTCATTTCCACTAGGATTAGAAACAGGAAACCAGAAAAGTAACAGTGTGCTAGTGACAGACTGGAAGAAGGCAGGCCACACTGACACACACCCAAACCCCATTATGTTCCCTCTCTTTCCTCCCCTGCACTCCCCTTCCAGGTGGCCACTAAACATCTAAGAGGCTTCTTCCCCACATTTCTCCCTTCCCCCCGTGCATTCTCCTCGTCCAGGACAGAACCTATCACCAACGTGCCTGTCACCTTTGCTCCCTTACAGTGGAAAGTCTGTGACAGGAACGGTTTGTCTGTGTATCTCTGCATCACCGGCACCTTGCATGGGCGGATTTTGACTCAAAGATGTCTTAGATGATTAAAGTAGCAGTGAAACATCGCAAAGTGCAGCAAGAACTGTATGAAGGCAGCATCTAGGAGTGACCGAACTAACCATCCTTTGCCCCAAGCTTCCCGTAAGTTACATACGTTAGTTACTATAAATAATGAAAAGCTAACACGGATCCTCAGTACTTTACGAGGAACTTTGTTAAAGTCTTCTTCTAAAGGTTACATAGTTTATTTCCCATGTTCGGAGACTTAGGGTGTAACTCAGTCATTCAGTTACCAGAAAATTCCCCGAAAGCTCAGCCCCAAACAAGTACCAAGAGGTGACATCCTGAAGCGCTGGAGCGCTGCAGCTAGAGTGTCCGCGCTCGGCGCAAGGCTGCGGTCCCGGAACAATCCCGCATCGCACTCAACCCTCCGACGTGGAACAGGCGGCAAGGGACAGTGGTCAGCGCGCCCTTGTGCTGTGCCGCGCCGGCCCTCGACTCGCTGGCGCCTCCCGGAGGGGGCATGGGCCGCGACCTCGCGAGCCCGGGGCTCCTGCGCGCCGTCGGGACACCCCGAGAGCCGGACGAGCAGCAACACCGCCGGCCTGGCACCCGCCCGATTCCCCGCCACCTCCGAGCCGCGCGCCGCGCGCGGGAGCGACCTCCAGGCGCGCGTACCTTCGCTCCTGCCCAGGATCCGACAGCACAGGTTCTGCAGCAGGACGTTGGGCGACTTTTGGTCGGGAGTCGCCATCGTAGCCCAGGGCTGCGAAGGGCCCCGGTCCGCGCCCGCTGCTCCCGCACCTGGGCTACGGCGCCGCCATGTTCGCGGAAGCTGCGAAAGCGCGCGCTTCCCACAAGGCCCCGCTCCACACGCATGCGCGACCTTCGCGTCCAGCCCAAGGCAGGTCCCGGCGGCTGCTGGCGCGAAAAGAGTTCCTGGGGACCGCCAGAAGGGTCCCACGCGGGTTTAGCGGATGGGTGCGGGCTGGGATCCTGGAGAACACCCCGCAGTGTGGATGCAGTTTTTAAATGGCACCGGTTGCCTTCACAATTTTGATGGGGAAATCTGTATAAGGAACGCAGAGGACTTAAGGTTTGTAACAGTGTTACAGGAGACACCTGCTGCTGCAGCGGTGCGCTCCTGTGAGCAGAGATTAGCGGCCCAGGTAACCATGCCGTCATCGGTGCCAGGGGCAGTCACGTGGACAGAGCAGCCCAAGAGGCCTGCATAAGCAGTGACCGCGCGACCTGCTTCGTGCACGGTGGGCGCCCTCCCAGAGCCACCAGCAGGACCAGGGTGGGCACGGGCCACCCAGACACGGAGGGGAGGGGCAGGCACACGCGTGACTGCGACCTGCAGACGCATCCCAGGATGCGGGCCGCAGGGAGGTGAGCGAGAAGGGGACAGTCCATGTCTTCAGCGTGGCACTACCTCTGTCTGTGAGAGTTGCGGAGCCTGCGACAGGGTCCCGGGCCCTCTTCCTGGTGCTAGTTCTTTTCCTAGATACTGGCCCCTCAGCAGGTGCAGGACGTGGCCACCATGACCAACGCCATTCTTCCCCTGTGCCCTTCCATACTCAGTGTGCCCCGCCCACTGCTTGCATCATCCAGGTCACAGCTCTCTGTGCTGTGTTGGGTGTGGTTTTTGTATGGCCCACTGGGTCCCACTACAGTCCAGCTGTGACTGCTGAGTACAAAGGCTGGCCCATGGCGAGACTTTGGAGGATTAACTGGAGGGTGTCAGGATGTGCGTCATTCGGGGCCTTTCTGTTTCTAGTTCCAGCTGTGATCCCAGAGCCAGGGAGCTCCCAACCCAGCTTTGAAAGCATCTCATTCATGACCAGTGTTCTAAATAGTTCCATGACACCCTGAGGAAGCCAGGAGTCACCACTCCAACCCCCTAGGAAAGAGTCACTGCTCTCTAAAAAAGCCCACCTGCTTTCTACATGACTAGCTTTCCATTTGTCCCCAGTGTAGTCAATTTTACCTGAACTATTAATCTTATTGGCTAACCATAGTTCTGTCCCACCTTATGCCCATCTGCCTTGTGAGTTCCCAGTTTTCCCTATCTTGAACCCATCTCACCCCATGATTTTACTCTAGAAAAGTCCCTGGAAAAGACAGAGTCCTTGGCAACCTGCCTGGGACCCCTTCTGTCTCTCTCAGATGGAAGCTGTCTTTCTCTCAATAAATATATTCTACTCTTAACCTCCATTGTTCCTAAAATTCATTCTTCGATTTTAGAGAACACGAACTCGTACAAGACATAGTAGGTCGGGAGTTTCATTTCCCTGTATCAGAAGGAGGACTCTAAGGCCAGGTGGAGGCATTTGGGTAAAACAGGAGGTCCTGAGTCCCCCAAACTATAAACAGCTGCTCCTGCTCTGTCCACAAAAACTGGCCTCCCCTTGATTTCCAGAAACAGACAGAATGACTGTGCTCGTCGCTAGTAAGTTAAAATACCATTCCAAAGGATTCAAATAGTAGAAAAGAAAGAGAGAAAAGGTGAACAGAAACCAAAGTAGGTGAGGTGGACACTTACTTTTCTGGCAGTTGAAACCCAGCCGATCTAGCATCTGTACAAGCCTGAGTGAGCAGTGCCTTCCTGACAAAAGACAGCTGTCAGAATGAGTATCTTTAAAAACAGACCCTAGTGGTGTGCTGTATCACGAGACACATTCTTTCTTACAAAGCTCAGAGAGTTTGAAAGTGAACAAAGAAAAGCAATGCTTCCAGACCTTGGTACTCAGCTGCTTTGAAACTCATGGAATTTGGTTTTTGACACATTTTGACTCAAAACTGGTATTCTGGTACTCATTATTTGTTTGATATTTGATGCTTATTGGTATCTGTTGCCTGGTGATCTACTCTCCTTTCCAGCTTTCGTTCTTGGTACTCTTCAAGCTTTCCAGAAGCAATTAATGACAAGGACCTTGGTACCGCTGCAGCATGAAAATTGTCAAGCTTAATAAAGCTGAAGGGGCACATTAAAATTAGACAAATAAAGCAAGACAATGATTCTAACCAGAGAAAGAGAAAGACTTTTCATAATGATGAAAGGGTCACCTCAGAAAATTATAACAATTATAAATGTGTAATAACAAGCTCACAGAATTTGAAAATGCATGATGCAGGAAGACTTTCAGGGAGGTGGGCAAAAACACAAGCCAATCCTGTGCGCACACACACACACTGTTTTAGTTCCTTTCTCATTGCTGGGATGAATTACCTGACAACCACAAGTTAGGGGATATTGTAATCCCAAATACTGTGTACCACCATCTAAGAATTGTAATCTTCTTTTTAGTTTTTTTCACAATCCAAAAAGTTATAATCCCAGCAAGTTATTTCCAATCTACCACCTCCAATGCAACCCACGTCAAGAGTAAAGACACCAAGACATATCCCAAGTTAAGGGCAGCCGAGGGGTCCTAAGTCCAATACTCGTGAGAACATGTGGTCAAAGGCCTTAATCCTAGGCCTCTCCCAGAATTTACTGTCTTGTAAAGAAGGGGGGTGACTCAGAGATGAGTGACAGTAAAGATGACAAAAATTATGTAAATAACGAGCTTGCTGGCCAAGATTAAAAAAAATGGCATCTCTGTAAATTACAGAGATAAAGATATACAAAAAGATCAATTTACACAATCTAACTAAGGTAACAACAAAATTATTTTGGGAGGGTGTGGCTTTGGTTTTTGATATGTAAACTCTTGTGCCCTGAAGAGTTATAGCCTCTTTATCTTGAGGCTCCTACCCAGTTGACATCTTCAGAGCTATTACCTTTAACATCTCGCTGTGTTCATATCTTGTATATATCCTGTATGGAAAACATGCAAAAAGCCAGAACTGTCTGTTGGCTTTAGAGATTATATACCAACACTTCAGCTAGCCTGATTTATAATGCTTAGAGCCAATCAAAAAAATACCCTAGCCAGCTCTCTACATATCAATATAAAAAAATAAGTCTCCAAAATAATCAAAGTCACAATAATTGTTTTACATCCAAGGGGAGTCACTAGAGTTGTCTCCCAAGTTGTCTGGGATGGGCTTATTGTAGCCCACAGTTTGAGCAGGTTTCAGTCCATAGCTGGCTGGTTCCAGGCAGGGTGGCACGGCAGCAGGCATGGCAGAGAAAGAACTGTATGGTGAGACAGGCAAGAAGCAGCAAGGGTGAGTTGCCTTTCCTTTTCTATCCCATCCAGACCTGCTGGTCAGTGCCCACCCACTTCCAGGGTGGGGCTTCCATTATCCACACAGGAATTACACCAAACCAGTCACTGGACTGAGCCACTGTCACATACCCCTGACCTGGCCACCTCTGTTGGGAGCCGCGGCCAAGCCCGGTCGCCTTACTTGGCGGACGTGAGGCCTGTAGGAAAGAGCAAAGCCTGAGCTAGATTACCCCTCCCATCGAGTGTGCTAAGATGGCGCTTATCTCCTGCTTGGTAAACAACCCGCCCTGTAAGATCTCCTGCTTCCTGCTTGGTAAACAACCCGCCCTGTAAGATCTCCTGCTTCACAACCCGCCCTGTAAGATAGTCTGCCTAGCAACAACTGAACCCTATAAAAGTGAGTGCCTCTCCCGCCAAGAAAAAAAGAAGAAGCAAAAGAAGCAGAAGAAGCATGCAAGGAGCCGCGGAGAGCGGACCGGTAGAGGCTTCGGGACAGACTGTAGGGAGAAGCACGCAAGGAGCCGCGGAGAGCGGACCGGTAGAGGCTTCGGGACAGACTGTAGGGAGAAGCACGCAAGGAGCCTCGGGGAGCGGACCAACAGAGGCTTCGGCCGGGAGGATTCCCGGGGCAGGCTGTACGGAGAAGGAAAATAAAAGAAAAGGTTGTCCACTGCCAGACTTTGTTGTGTGTCCTTCCTGCCGGCCGGGAGTGACACCGACATCTGGTGGCCCGTACGGGGAGCTGATCACCCCGAGACGTGGCAGTGGACAACGCTCCAACGCAGAGCTGCAAGACAGGTGAGTAGAGGATAAACCTGGGCCCTGGGTGGCGCGCACCTACAGGGTTTGTAGACTCCTCTCAGGCTCACGCGTAAGTGGCGGATTCCTTGGGCCTCATGCGGTGAGTAACATATTAAAAAATGGGAAACATGCTAGGTAGCGGCACTAAGAGTGAGGGTGGTTGCTGGGAAAGCTCTCAAGAGCTTACAAAAGTACGCAGGGTATTTGAGCAGGCCCAGTCAGGGAGCTCCCGAGAGGGGTCCGTCAAGGGGAACAAAGATGCTAAGGAGGAGGACGGGGCTCAAGCCTCGGAGTCGTCTGACTCCGAGGACGAGGGAAGGTTGAATGGTGAGGAGGCCAAAGAGACCAGCTGTCAGGGGCCTAAGTCGCTTGATGGGGAGACGCAAGGCTCTTTCGCTGCGTTGCGCCGCGAATTGCGCTCCGCTCAGCTAGGCTTACGAAAAAGCAGAGAGCTTCTGAGCACCCCCTGGCAGGGGAGGGAGACAGAACCTTCTGCTCTGCCCTGGAACTCGTTCCCGGAAGCGGTCCCTCGCCGCGAGGCCGCCGCATGGGAACTCCCCCCTCTTCCGTCAGTACAGGAAATAACGCACAGGCCGCCATTTTCTGTTCAGCCACGGCCGCCATCTTACGATGCTCCGCCACCGGCGGGACGTTATTTCCACAGACAGCTGTGGCATGGGGGTCGTGTGTCTAATGAAGACCACCCGTTCCCAGGGATAGATAGCGGCCCCTATGGGATATATCCTGTACAGATGGCCATGGGTCAGGGACGTAATGTGTGGGAACCCTTTGAAATAAAGCAGATTAGAGAACTTAAAAATGCAGTTACAACCTTTGGGCCGACTGCGCCTTACACCATTGCCATGCTGGAGAACCTGTC